ATTGGTCTTCAGTAATATTCTAATTTTCTGATATGATGAATTTGAGATTTTCATTTGTTGTCATTTGTAATCATCAAAATTAAACAAAATAAACATCCGAAATATATGAGTTTGTATGTAATGTATGAATATAATATACAAGTTTCACTTTTTAAATGGAATTACTGAAATCAATCTACTTTTTCATGATATTCTAATTTTATGACCAGCACCTGTAGCTTCTGGTCTTGCTTCTCTCTCCCACATGGAAGTGAACTTTCACTCACCTTTACCCACTCTACTCCCTTATATTTAATCCCACTCACCCTCTGGCTTATTCCACCACCAGTGTCCGGGCCCCAGGATAAGGGCCTGTGTATACAGTGTGTCGCAGTGAGCTTGATGCAGGTATGATGCATGCATTTTTCATTTATGCCCAATATTGAAGCGTGGTCTGTGCTATGTTATTCCACACCACAATGCAAGAAGGACAATCAGGAACTAGCTAGGATTGTGGCTGTCCGTGTGTCATTATGACAAGCTTGTTCGCCATCTAGAACCCCTCATCCAACGCCGGAGGACACACAATTCACACGTGAGTGTTCTCGAAAGACTGACCGTGGCGCTACGTGTTTTGGTTTCAGGCGTAAACCAACAGGCCGTCGCACAGAGCTACAAACTAGCCTCCTTTACTGTGTCTGGGATAGTGTCCGAGGTGTGCCTGGCGTTGTGGATGGCACTACAGCCAGAGTCTCTGCCATTAGGTACCGGGACATACGCAAAGTGTAGAGCGGATGTAGAATTGACCAATCAGAGGCCTCCTTTCTCTCCTCCCTGCGATGCTATATGTGGCACTGTCTGCGGTCACATACAATTTTGGGGAGGTGCACCAGAGGGGGTTGCGGAAGGCGGGGGCCTTCTGCAACGCCTGAGCCTAGTTCTGCTGGAGGTTTCTTCCTGTTCGTAGGGTTTTTTTCCTCCCCACTATCACTACATGTATGCTCAGCATGAGGAATTGCAGGGAGTCGATAAGTCCTCGCAATCAGCTAGTTTTCCTTAGACAGAAAAGCTTCAAAAATATACAGATTGTTTTATCTGTATAGATAATTTGAATACTTTTCTATTTGCAGTTTTTCTCTGTGTGAATCTCTCCAAGTTGAAATAATTTACTGGGTAGAACTGAACCCGCATTTTACTGGACCAATATAATGCCTGCTAATTTAGCAGGACAACTCCAGTGAAAATAGAGCTGTTACATTACTAGATAAGGCTGGAATATGCATGTTTACGTGTTGCCTAGCAATAGTCCTGACTCCTGCTAAATGTTGTTAACTTCCGCAAGAACAGCATCACTGACAACACTTCATCAAGCATTTCATCAAGCAAGCTTACAAGTGCTCAACGATGGCTGGAAAACTGGTCGGACCAGTGCAGAGATTTTATGAATTTCAGTCCATCTTTATTTTCCGAGAGGCCATTGTCAAACTTTGAACGTCAAACTTCCACCTTTGGCATGTAAACAAAGCAACTGTATGTATGTCGCTTTTCTAAGCTGCCTAGCAATTATTAAACTGGATGTGTTTCAACCTGTCCTTGGCCCCCGTTCGACCGGCTGCTAACAGATTGCTGCTTTACACCATTGTGAAGGAGACAAGAAGCAATTAATTTCATTTCCACTATGAAGTAGAAAGTTCCATATTCTGAAGTCTAACTTGGAAATTCTGAAATGTCCAGTCGACTAACCAGGAGCTCAGATCTAATATTCCTGCTGCACATTTAAAACAGGTAAGGAGCAGAAATACGCTGTTCATTTGTATTTCTAATAGTTTGATACACAACCTTTTTATGTACAGTACACATGTTTGAAGACAATAAACATTGAAAAGAGTCATTTAAGAGGAGGTTAAGGTAAACACTAAGATGGGTCTGGTTGCCTTGTAGTGTAATAAACAGCTCTAAAGCAACCATTGCCCCATTTCCACTAGCCCTCTGAAACCAATCTATGCCGAGTTTGGACTGAGCTTGGATCAGTTAACCGTGCTGAGCTTGGTTCTTACGACCATTTACACACAGTGATGGGAGTAACGGCGTTGAAAGTAACGGCGTTACTAACGCCGCTACCTTTTTTTAGTAACGAGTAATCAAAATTATTACTCTTACTGTAACTATAACGCAGTTACAATTGCCGATACCCCGTTACTGCGCGTTACTCAGGTCGCACAATTAACCTTTTTTCATGATAGGACTCGTGCGCGCGTCATGAGAGAGGGGGGGATGGAGGGTGAGGAGGACTCCAGCAGCAAAACAGCGCTTTCCAGATGGAAATACCGGTGTTACGTCGAGCTGCGTTTCGCCATCAGGTTCGGTTTCCCCTGCATCTCCGCACAGCGGCATGATTCACCGCGCAAACGACAGGAAACGCGCATGCTAGCTAAAGGCGCGTAACAACCGCCATGTGCTCGTGCCACAGGGGAACTACGGAGAGCGTAAACGATCATTAGCCTATATGGAGAAAGAGAGAAATATGGATGGATGGATGGATGGATGGATGGATGGATGGATGGATGGATGGATGGATGGATATAGCTACATGTTGCAGTATCTATAACAACCCAAATACAGGATTTCAGAATTAGACATCCCCAGTTATTCATTTCATACACTCGCAAAAGTAACGCAATAGTTACTTTTACTACTAACTAGTTACTTTTATTGTGGAGTAACTCAGTTACTAATTCAGTTACTTTTTGGGAGAAGTAACTAGTAACTATAACTAATTACTTTTTCAAAGAAACGTGCCCAACACTGTTTACACGTCATGCTATCACGGTTCCTTGCCTCCTATCGGCGGATCCATGATGCTACAGCTCTTAAGGCGGGAATTACACAAGTAAACATGGCTGCAACCATAACATTCAAGAACTAGAAGAAGAAGAACTAGAAGAAGGTATCCTTCTCAGTCTGTGGATCATCCCAGGTGGCAACAAGCTCTTTTGATGCCGATATTCTGGCTAGGTTTTTGCTAGGGCTTGGAGTGCTTCTGACATGTTTCCTAAATATCTCAGATTGCCTATGATGGTGGAAGAGACGGCTTAAATTTCTTCTTCTTCTCTTGTCATTTTGCTCCTGCTCTACACCCCAGCACCTCCTTTTCAACTCAGCTGGTACTTGCGGAAGTAATTTATGTACTATTTCACCACTAGAGGTGTTAATTAGCTGCTCCTATGCGTGATAAGTATCTAAAAAGGAGGAAAAAACTCAGTAACAATCCCTCCAGTTTCACAGCTTTCGACACCATAAGCTCAAAAAGATCAGAAAAAATAAACTGATCCAAAAAGGGAGAAAACAAAGCTTTTCTAAAAAAAAAAACCTATCAGGGTGAAGCTACCAGAACCACTTGCAGTCACCTTAAGCAGCACAATTCCAAATTCAAAATTCAAGAATCCTAATTTTTATTTATACATATTTATGCATCTATAAATATGTATTTATTCATACATATAAAGTAATGTTACATACATATGAATAATATTTCTTTAAAATATATTTAATTATCTCTGGGGAAATCTAATTATTTACTTGTGCGTTTTACAATTTAATTGTTTATGTAGTATTTATTTAATAAAAGGCTACATGTTACATCTGCTTATGCTGTTGAATATCTATTTATTTGATGGGACATTAACATTTGTGTATCACAGAATATTTTCTGGCTCTCCATACATATGGGATCAGATCACTTTCATTATGAAAGCTTTTTCCTCCTTCTCCTCTCCCTCCACTCAGTGTCTTGCTTCCTTCATGGGGTACAGAGAACCCCTTCTTTAAAGCTCCAATTATTTCAAACACTTATGCCTGTACTAAAGATTTTAGCCTCTTTTAACCAATTAGGCTGTAAACTGGCGAATACTTAAAAATCTATAACTTTCGAACAATAATAAAAAAATAATTTTGGTTGGAGTAATTTCTTTTTTTTATTTTCTTTTTTTATACAGTGTCCTGTCTGGCAGTAAGAATAATTGTCTTGATGCCAAAAAAGAGCCCAACAGATTTTACTTTCACAAGTGGAGCAGTATGGCAATTGCTATATTGCTCCCCTTTTTCATGCATATAAATTGCTTTGTTGTAATTATGCAGGCAGTTTTACAGTTTATATGGACACTGCAATGTAAATAGAGCAGAAAAACAGAAGAAGAAAAAGGAAAAAAAAGAGAAAAGGTGAAAGAAAGAGGAGATAGGAAGGAGACAATGACAAAACATTTTCAGTCTGCTTCATCACCTGTATATGTACGGAAGAAGATTAGGGCCACTAAAAAAAAAAAAAAAATTAACTGATTTTTTTTATTTTATTTCAGTATAGTATGGGGAAAAAGTCAGAATTCTGAGATTAAAGTCAGAATTCTGACTTTTTTCTCAGAATTAAACTCAGAATTCTGACTTTTTTCTCAGAATTCTGACTTTAATCTCAGAATTCTGACTTTTTTCTCAGAATTCTGAGATTAAAGTCAGAATTCTGACTTTAATTCTGAGAAAAAAGTCAGAATTCTGACTTTTTTCCCATGTTAAACTGAAATAAAATTTAAAAATCACTTTACTTTTTTTTTTTCAGTGGCCCTAATCCTCTTCCGTATATATGTGAAAAGAACAGCACAACCGAAAGACATGGTACGAGATATACAATAAAGAAACATCTTTAAACTATCGCTAAAGTAGTATTGTAGTAATTTCAACGAATGCAACTTTATTTTAATATTTTTAAAAAATCCCTCAATGGAAAAAACAATACATCTACAAAGTTAAAATAACCTAAAACCTGTATTTAAAAAAAGTTCCTGCAGAGGAGAAAATACGCTGCAGGTTTAACGTTTTTGGTTTCCTAACTGTCAGTGAAGGCACCACGGACAGAAGTTGAGGTGGATTTTTTTAGTTCATGTCCCTGAATGTAGCACCGTCTTCACCCTCCTCCCTGCTTTGACGTCACCGGCGCCGTCTCCTCACATGCACCGAGGAGTGCAGCTCCCCCTCCCGCCCTCCTCTGCCCCAACTTCTCCGCCTCAGCGCCCCGCCGTCAGACAGACACCGAGCCGCTCACCGTCCTGCTCCTGCCGCCGCTGCTGCCGCTGAGCGGAGTCTGCTCCTCCATCTGAGTCCCGGCCTCTTTTCTTCCACTTGCGTGGGTTGCTCCAAGGACCGGCCTTCGAGTTTTTTTATTTTATTTTATTTATTTTTACTACGTGGTTGGAGGACATTATTATTTTGTCCACTCTTGCTGTCCTTCAAGTGAAATGGAGAAAATGGCCAGACCTCTTCCTTTAAACCCAACTTTCCTGCCGCCGACCCACGGCGTCCTGAAATCCCTGCTGGAAAACCCGCTCAAGCTGCCGTTTCACCGCGATGAAGGTGAGCTGTTCGAATATGTGCAAAACTTACTGCGCACACAGGTGCACACACCGCTTCTTGGCGCAACGCACACACGGACGTGTACAGTCAGGACATAGGTCAACCAAAACATGTAGAAGTTGGACCTCTTTATACTTTGCGATCTTTGTTAAAAATTAAACGCTCTAATCTAAATGGCCAGAGGAAGACAGAGATAGAGAAAAAGAAAGCTTCGTGTTTTGAGTTGAATGTTTATAACCAGCAGCTCGGACCTTAAATGAAGCTAAAAGACGTCAACAGGTGATTTAAAGGTGCAGTAATTTTGACATAAAACACATAAGAGCCCCGCTTTACCCGCTCTGTTGTTGTTACTGTGCTGTTTATAGCTTAGTAGTGCTGTTTATAACCTTTAAACCCTGCTGTCCTCAGTGGGACCTATTAGCAGTACCGCTGCCCGCCGACAGGGGGCGGTTATTTATTTTCCTAATGGGAAGCTTTTTGTGGGGATAATGTAAATGGATGTTAGTTTAACAGTTTCTAATAAAGTCTGGCCAGATATTAAATTACTAATTGCTTATGGTCAACAGGAGAAATTAGAAGATTTATTTAAAAATCCTAAACATCACATCCTTTAGGAGAAAAATAAACCTGCATGTGAAGCCTAATAAATTAGCATATCATTAATATTATTATTTTTTTATATTGAGCTGAAGAGATGTGTTTCATATATAAATTATTTTTTTTTTTTGAGGGATTTAAATGGCATCCAATGAAGACTGAATATTTACTACCAAATATGACTATACATCATACACATAAAATAAGTTTTTTTTTAATAAAGAGATGTTTTTTTTAAGGCTATGTTGTGGATTATGATGGAAAACTTAGTGGAAGGAAAAAGTTTTAGGGATGCACGATATTGGGATTTTGGCCGATATCCAATATGCCTATATTTTAAAACTCATGTAGCCGATAACCGATATCGATACCGATGTTAAAGCTGGACAAAAATAAGTAGTCATTGAAAATAGCAGTTTTGTTATCCATTTCTGACACTTTGAAAAATAATAAACTCAAATATATTTTCATATGCTGATATCAAATTGATTTTTAAAAACGCGGTATCGATCTATTTTACTTTCAAAATCTGGTGAAATTTCATCGTTCTGTTACAAACTCTCGTGATATTTTGCAAATTCTTGTGAGATTTTGTTAGTAAAATAGATCGATACCGCGTCAATATATCAACATATAAAAATATGGCAACATTTGGTGAATTTTCGGGGGATTTCGTAGCATAACGATGACATATAGCAATATTTCATTAGTGAAAGAGATTGATATGGTGTTTTTAAATGGCAATATATCAGCATATGAAGATATTGGGATATTTTAATGGATCAATATTTTTTCCCTCGTCTTTAGAAGTTTTTAAGTCTGTAAAAAAGAAGTTTTTGAGGAAGAAGTATTTATTTATTTTTTTTAGACTTTAGAAACTCAGAAGCTGATCAAATATCGGGTTAAATATCGGTGGGGTGGCCGATGTCCGATATTCAGTTTTAAGGCCGATATCGATAGGGGGCCGATTATATCGTGCATCCCTAAAAAGTTTGGTAGAAAAAGTTGCAAAGGAAACTCATGTTCAAGATTTTGGATATGATTTCATCTGGATTCTGAGTTTCATGAACCGCCATACGTCAACTGTAATACCTGCGGAATGAGACAACATCAGAAGAATCCAGGAGGACGAGGGATAGATTCAACGACCTATTGTCTAGAGGGAGGTGAGAGATCATTTACGAGTGGTTAAGCGGCTCCGCCCTCATTCCACACCACAGGGATGCAGATTATTCTCTAAACCAAGCATCGAATCCACAGAACTAACCAACTTTTATCAGCTATATTAATAGAAGCAGAGACCTGAAATAATTCAGCAGATTCCCAGTTTGATTTATGAAGCTGCACCTGTGCTTCCCACCGGATCCATTTGCATTTACTGCTCAGACTACAAGTGAAATATAATTCCCTCCAGCCGCAGCACTAGTTTGCCTTCTAGTTTTGCTCATCGCTTGCATCGATTTGCACAGTCCAAACATCAAACCACAGGATCCAGAAACGTTTAGGGCTGAAATGAGCACAGTGAGTTTATGTATAACTTAGAACTTGTGACCCAGCAGCAACAGCAGCCTTTTTAACGTGGAACCAACGTCACGCCTCACAGTTGCAGGTCAGGAGACCGGCGGGGTCGGACCCGATTCTGCTGCCAACGGAAGCTGATGACTTCCTGTCTTCCTGACAGAAACCACTGAAAGCAAAGAAATGTTGACAATCGGAGGAGAACATGATGACAAGTCTGACAGAAATTATAGATTTTCCTTTGAGATGAAGCACTTACTCTCCGTTAGCCATCGTTCTTTTTGATTTAGAGCTGAAACAATTTATCAAATTAATTAACTTTTAAAATAATCGTCAAATAATTTAGAAACCGGTTAATCGTTAACTGGAATATAGAGACTAAAATGTATCTTTCGCTGACAGAGCGTCCTACCTTAAGCAGCAATTCTACCAAAATTTTGCAATTAAGATAAAAAATTATCTTTTTTAATCTCTGGATCTTTTCTGTCCAGAACTCCTCAAAAGGAAAAGTTTCACCTGGTTTAGTTTCCTAAAAAGTCGTTTTTAAGAAACTTTTGTCTATCCGGCTATTAATCGATTAATCAAAAAATTATTCAACAGATTAATCAATTTGCAAAATAATCCTTTACAGACTCGATTGATTAGATAATTAATAGGCCTGTAAACAGAAGACAGTTTTACTGGATGACAAAGTGTCCAAGAAGCATTATTGATAAACTTTACTTTTTTTCAACATATAATGACGATAGGGAAATAATAAAAGCGCATCCTCTCATGTATTAATTAATTAACTTTTGTTTCTAGGGGAAAACTTAAAGTCCAAAATAAATAAAATTCACTCTCAGTCTTTGTTAAACAAAAAGTGAAAATCTGTTAAAAACCAAAAAGAACTAAATTCAATAAAAAAGTAATTAAAAGGCCCCAAAAAAACTTTCATCTCCTTAAAAATATTGTTCGCGAATTTTTAAAAAACTTAAACCAAAAAAAAAAAAAAATGCACATGCACAACCCTGTAAAGCTCCGGAGAAAGAATGCCCATAAACCGCGTGCGAGAGCGTGCACAGTTCGTACAAATTATCACTGTTTTTTGATTCCCGTTGGTCACATAACTCCTCCTACACCGTGCGGCGCCTGCGCCATCTTTGTTATTAGTCGCCGCTGTCGGGTAGCGACGGCCTGTGGCGGGCCGCTGTGACAGCAAATCCCATAATGCTTTGCGTGGAGAGCTCTCCGTGCAAGCTCTCGTGTATGATGCCATTTGCACGCTTTAGTACCTGTGGAATTGCCAGGTTTTAAACCGGTATGTTTTCTATGAAAATTCCCATTAAATAACATTTTCTAAAATTCTTTTCAGCTAAATTAACATGAAATTATTTTTGTATCACTATTGTTTGAAGCAAAAACATGTTTTGTAAATGGAAATATTCATTTTTTAAAAATCAAAGAATCTAATAAATTAAAAAAATCTTAATCAGCAAAAGGTTTGGAGATTAACTTCGCTGTCTTTTCATATTTCTTTTTTTTTTCAAATATTATTCATTTCTCTTTCAGACTGAGTTTAACATATAGCTTTATTAATGCGTTTTACGGATCACATTGACTTCAACGCTCTTTCTTGACCAATTAAAAACATTTTGCTAATGTGAATTGGACCAATAGAAATACGTCTTCACTTCTCACTCCAAAGGAAAGCCCGCCCCCAGAGGAGAAGAGAAGGTGATCTGTAAAATCCAATTTCAAAGGAATGATATATGTAAAGGTTCATCTGAAAAAGAGATGTGTGAACAAAAAAATAAATAAAACTGTGTATATGAATTTATATGAAAAAAAAAAATCAAATATGAACAAAAAATATCAGAGAAAACAGAAAAGTTACTCTTAAAACCTTTTTTTAAGACATAAATTGGTTATTTTTGTACGGAAGAGGATTAGGGCCACTGAAAAAAAAAAAAAGTTAACTGATTTTTAAAAAAAAAATTTCAGTTTAGTATGGGAAAAAAGTCAGAATTCTGAGAAAAAAGTCAGAATTCTGAGAAAAAAGTCAGAATTCTGAGAAAAAAGTCAGAATTCTGAGAAAAAAGTCTGACTTTTTTCCCATACTATACTGAAATAAAATAAAAAAAATCAGTTAACTTTTTTTTTTTTTCCAGTGGCCCTAATCCTCTTCCGTATTTTTGGCACCAATAATGAAAATAAATTTACTTCATAAAGTGAAAGGCAGCATCTCTTAAGCAAACTATGGTGGCTGTTAGGGCCAAACTTACTGACCCTTTTTAATTTACAATTCAAATAGTTGTTTTATTGTTTGTGACGGACCTACTGAGACATGTTTCTATTTTTTTTTTTTTTTAGATTGAGACTTGTGTAATATTTGTTATTGTTCCATCATTCTTATCCCAGTAATGGGATACTGCCTTCATGGGTAGATCACTGGTTCTTTCTTCATGCTGGGTTTTCTGATTTTGGTCTTTCTGAACTGAAGCAGACTTAATCAGCTTATGATTATCTGTCAATTAATGATTTATTTGATTATATATTTTCCATCTGGTTAATTTATTTTTGTCCGCTTGGAAGGAATTTCTTTCGGTGTTGTAATGTTACTGCCGTCCACTAGAGGGCCGGGACACTGTAGCCACAGAATCAGAAATACTTTAATAATCTCCGAGGGAAATTACTTAATAATCAATAATAAAAAATATCAATAATCAATCGTATTTGAAAGAGAAATAACAAACTGATCCAGAGGCTGACCAGGACAATTTGCGCCATTTAATGCCGACAAGGAGGCAGGATGAACTTTTTGTGGTTCTGTTCTTAAAAATAAACACTTGGTGAACTCCTTTAAATTGCCACCTTAAGTCGGGCATACACTCTGCCATATTTTCAGTCGTTGCACGCAGCTACAGCTCAAACTGTACGACAGAATTTCAAACATTTATTTTTTTTCCGACCTTACGATTCCTGATCGGGAGGCGGCATTGAGAGGCTAATCACCCCTCGTTACCCCCATGTATACGACACGAAGCAAGACGCGCGATGAAGCTGATAGTCCGTCCGATCAAAAATTTTCGGACGACTGGAGAATCGCCTTGAAAAGGGCAAAAATATCGTACGCCGTATGCCCGGCTTTAATAGTGCCCATTTAATTGTGCTGCACAGTAGAGCTGCTTAACCTCTCTGCTGAGCTCAGAGGTGAGGATTCGATAATAAAAACATGGAGGGTTTTACATGCCAGCTACTAGCACTGTACATGGGCAAGACTACATGAGATAAAACACTAATAGAGTAACATTCTTCTGTAACAGAACCAGAACCATCTGTTTAAAAATGTTGCTAACAGCACAAAAAAAAAGTTGGCGTCCCCTTCTTTATAACAAAGCGGCAAATGGTCTGCAGGGCTCCATGTTAACCATCGCCGATCTCCCGGGGCAAGTAGTTTTTATTGTCGGGAGAGTACAAATTTTATTGCATTTGCCCGCCGGGCAAGTGGAATGATCGCAGAAAAAAATTATTTATCACTCAAAATTGCTTTAAAATCACCGACATTCGCTGAAAACGACCCACAAGCGTTGCCGGCGCCATCTTTGTTGTTTTGTACACATTCTCGCGTGATTTTCCGCTAGATGTCGTGATTCAGCTCTTGGGGAGAGAATTCTGCAGAGCAGCAGCTGGATGATGAATTTAATCTATACTGTAATACACGCTAGATTAAAAATGGTCAGGGATTAGGAAAATAATAACAATAGTATGCGCACAGTGTAAATATTAATATACAGTGGTCATACATTAAAAAATGTTCATTAAATGTTTTTCTCTTAGACATTGGAGTGGTGCATTTAAATGTTATAGAGCTAAACATGTTAGATTTGAGAGTAGTAGTAGTGTAAGTTTTAACATTACAATTTATATTTTTTCAGTTTTTAACAGTTTAAAGCAAAGTTTAGTTTGAAAAGAATGTGCAGGAAGGATTGAAAAGCCTGTTAACACGGTAATGTAGGCTGGAGTTCATTATCTGACGCATGCAGATACACACCAGGAACCTGGAAATTTGAAAAATACTGAATTACAAAAAAACATTTAAAAAACAAACAAGTTTCATTGATATATATACAAAAATGAACTATATTTATCAAACATTATACTGGGCAAGTAAAAATTGTTTCTGGGCAAATGAAATGTGAAAGTCACTTGCCCTTAACATCAACCCCTGTTCTGACAGTATATCGGAGTGACATACCCCGTCCCAACCTTCCTTGATGGGTCCTTACAGTTTTCGTTTTTAAACATTAATATTTGTAATAAAATATTCTGTCATGATTTGTGGACATTAAGATCTAATTCAATTCAATTCAGTTTATTTATATAGCGCCAAATTCACAACACATGTCATCTCAAGGCACTTTACAGTTCAACCAGATCATACAGTCAAATTGATACAAAGTTTTCTATCTAAGGAAAACCAGTTGATTGCATCGACTCATTGACTCAAATACAATCCCCCACACTAAGCATTCTTGTAGCGACAGTGGAGAGGAAAAACTCCCTTTTAACAGGAAGAAACCTCCAGCAGAACCAGGCTCAGTGTGAGCGGCCATCTGCCGAGGCCTAAATCTAAAGAGAAGCATCATCACCTGGTCAGACCCTGTAATTCTGTGAAATTATTCGGTTCCTGGAGGAGATTTTGCTGGAAGTTGCAGGGAATTTGGCTGCCATTGGGCTGGTGTTTGACTGGGAAGGACCATTTTAAATAGCTGCTAATGTACATTTAAAATCATGTCTTTCACTTATTTTAGTAATTTTTTTTAATTCAGTGACCGAATAGGTTCCAGTTCTATTATATAGAATAGAATAGAAAAAACGTTATCGTCTACTAAACACAATAATGGCAGAAATTAGCCTTTAAAATCCAATTATAAGAGTTGATTGCAGACGCAGCAGATTCACTTCATCCAGGGAACGGAAGCAGAACTGAATCTGCTACTCATGTGAATAAGTTTCAATTTGGCAGGAAACCATGTTTTTCTTTATTCATTCAGTATCTTATACATTTGGAACAATAAATAGTTAAATTAAGATGGCGATACAATTATTTATTTATACTTTAGCATGTTTTGAAAGATATTTAGCCTTCATGTTAAGGAAGTATCTTCTTGATTACGATCAGTCGCTAGTTGTTCGATGGGGACTTTTGTCCTTCCAGTTAGTAGGAAGTTAAAGGAGATGGGAGACATGTTTTACATGTTTGTTCTTTTTTCAGGGTTTGGGAAGGAAGAGAAGAAGGAGAAGAAGCTGGATGATGAGAGCAGCGCCGCCAGCCACCCGCAGTCGGCCTTCCTCGGCCCCACCCTGTGGGACAAGACCCTGCCCTACGATGGCGACAATTTCCAGCTGGAGTACATGGACCTGGAGGAGTTCCTGTCTGAAAACGGCATCCCTGCCAACACGGCGCAGGGCGAGCAGGCCCCGCCGGCGGCGCAGCCTTCTCAGGCCCCGCTGCAGCAGGTGCCCCCGCCGGCGCCGCCCACACCCTCGGTGGTGGACCTCAGCAGCCGCGCCTCCGTGTCGGTCCACGCGGCCCTGCCGCCTCAGACCTGCCGGCACAGCCCCTCCACCGCAGGTAGGAAGCTCACCTGCACTGACACATGGAGCCTCATGCTTTCTAACACATTCTGGGCGTGGAGGCGCTGGAGGGACGTGTTGTTTGCTCGCCATGAAAAGGAGCGATTCCCGTCGTCTTTAAGGCTTCATTGCAGATGTCGCTGTAAATACTTCAGCTCAGACCCAGCTGGGAGCCGGGCGGTGCTGTCAGAACAGGCTGAACCGGTTTGCATCCAAGTATGCAGCAGAGCGGCTGTCACAGAGTTCTGATTGCCTGCTGGAGGCCCCGCCCCCCTGCATTTGTTTTGTTTACTTCAGCTGGTTCGGTCAAGCTTTTCCTTGGTGGAGGCACATTCCGGCTGCTGCTGCCAGATTCCCTCATTTCCACCTAAGTTCTTGGAACCATCCTGCTTTTCTGTCACCAGATCAGCTTCTGCTACAGAAGGGAGATGTTATGTAATGAGCCAAAGGTTTGAGCTGCAGCTCCGTGAAAGCGGCTCCTGTTTTCCATCCAGACTTTGCTCTAAAGGCTGCTGGCAGCAGATCAGATCCTGAAAGATAAACAGAGGGAGACTGTGAGGGTGTTTACCTGAAGGGCGTCTGATAGCTTCACGCTAATCAAAGCCTTCAAACAATAATGGTTTCGGCTCAGGGATCGTTGTTCAGCCTGGTTTCCGTGTTTTCAGGTGAACTCATCCGCCTCAGTCTGATTAGCTGTTGGTTTGAGGACATTTGAGGCAGATTTTTGTTTATCTGTTTGCAGCCGGCGGGCCGTCCCGTCCCAAACATTTCCTCTGGCTGTGCTCTGCCTCCAAACCCAAGGGTTAGGAAGGAAGAAACCCGGGCGAGGTTCTGTAAACAGGGTCTTACCTCATCTTTAATGTTCTGACCGCTCCACTGGGTGGGCTCATTCTACAACCGCTTCAATCGCTTCTCAGAATCGCCTCCGTTTTTCAGGAGAAAAAGCTTCCAAACAAAAGGATGAAAGCAAACAGTGGGAAAAAATTTATCAAATGAAATCCGCTTATTTACACTTTCAAATTTTATTACTAAAAACTACTCAAAGGAAACAAAGTTTTACGGGTTAAACTCAGTTTTTCTAAACGGTTTGTAAAAAAAAAAAAAGAAAAAATCAACTAAATAATTATATATATAAAATGATCTTTTACTATCTATTGTTCTTTAAAAAAACATTTTAATCCCTTCTTGCCCACAAAGGCTGAGGTGATAAACTTTTCTTTTTAAAACTCTTTAGCTTCATAGGTCTGCAGAAATTAATCTACTTAAATAATTTTAAGTAAATATTTTCAATAAAAATGAAAAGAAATAATAATTTCCCAAGTAATCTATAATTAGTTCATCATTATTCTTCCTGTTCCAATAATATCATCAATATATAAGGTTAAAAGAGTCTATTTTTATTTTTATTTGAAAATATTAAGATGTAAAGATAATAGATAAATATTAAGTTAATTAATTAAAAATAAAATATATGAGGAAAATTTTTTATAAATGACTTAATTATGACAGTTTACTCTAATGGTTTATTCTAACAAACGTGACTCTTAAATAGACCAATTATCTTGAAGCTGCCCTAATGGCCCCGCCCACTAAATGAATTAAATAATCACAATTATTTTTTTTAATTATACATATCTCTTTATTGATTGCATTTGAGAATACTAATAAACTGAATCATTTCTGTCTAGATTAACTGAATTAATTACATAATTTTTCTTTTTTTTTGTACTTAGGGCGGCTCTGGTCCTCCGTATTTTAGGCTGTAGGTGGATAAAGGGTGAATTTCTGCTGCCAGATTCACCAGATATTTAAATCTTTGATTTTTATGGAAGGAATTTTGTTCCTTCATTGTTGCAGCAAAAAAAAAAAAAAAAAATGTTTTGTAAATAAAAATCAGGGAGAAAAAAAAACAATTAATCCAAAACTAAAACTTTGAAAAATATTTTAATCAAAATTAGGTTTTGAGAGTAGCTTTGTTTGTTCACTTATTTAAAATGTATTTTTATGATTTTTCAGATTTCTGTTTTTCTGATTCAATTTTACAAATTAAACTCTGTTCAGATTACATTTTTATAGATCAAAGAGGATGTGATTTGTAAAAATCCATTTGAAAAAAAAGTTTAAAATTTTAAAATCTATTAAAAAATGAATAAAAATTGTTGGTGGGTACATTTGAAAAAAATATGTAATATGAAAAAAATTTATTGAAAATATATAATATGAAAAACAACATTTGAGAAATCAAGCTGAGAGGTTTGACAAAGGATCGCATTTTAACTGCATTTTTCTTTCTTTTTTTTAAATTTCATTAACAAAATGAATTTCTTGCTTTCAACAATAATGGAACAAATTTCCCTCCGTACATTTTCAGCTGAATTCCCGTTTTGAACAGAATTAAAGTTTGTCTCAGTCTTTTTATTCCTGTTTTGTTTCTGGGTTGCGGGTCCGATTCCCGGCTCTGATCTGAGAGGAAGCGCTGAGGTCAGAACTCTGCATGCAGGTTCTGTTTGGGTCCATCTCTGCCTGCCAACTTCATATTTACCTCTCACGTGAAGCGGGTTTGCTGGTAGCGTGCGCGGCCATGTGAAGTGTGCAGCGCCGAGTGGCAAATGGGAGCTTGTCACGGCACAGCCCCCCCTCCCTCCCTTATGTTTTCCCACTTTCACTCCCCCCCACCCTCCCCGCTTCCCCCCCCCCCCCCCCCCCCCCGGCCCAGACTGAGAGCCAGAGCACACGCTGTACCCTGCTCGCCGCTGCCCGCGCAGGTCGAGGGTGACCATCAGGACACTGACCCCCGCCGTGCTCCTAGCAGGGGTCAAACGGATGTAAGCACGGATGGCTGCGCTGGATTTCTGCAATTCCTAACCAAAGATGGCTGAAGGGACAGATTAGCTCAATCCTGACCCGAATGTGGAATCAGGAATCAGTCAGACGACCCGATTGTGAATATTTCTCCATTCAGGCAGGAAATCTGATTTTATTTATTTCTTATTCAGCTGAAAACTGCCAGAATGTTTGGGTTCATCCAGCAGCAGCTGGTCTGACGGCGTTAGAAACATTAGGGTCTGATCCAGAAACGGAGAATCCTGCAGTTCCTTCGCTTTTCGTCGCCAGTAAAGGAGCACTGCAAGAAAATTAAATCTAAATAAATCATTTTTTTCTTAAAATAAGTGCATTAAGGCTTGAATCGAGGAGCCAAGTGAGACACTTTGCCAAAGGAAACAAGACAGTTTATATTTAAAATAAGAAAAAACACTTGCATTGTCTTCCTTAAAGTGAATATTATCTAATTATCTTATTTTAAGAGTAAAAATACTCATTCCAGTGGCAGATTATCTTATTTACTTACTCAAATTAATAGTAAATAAGGCTAAATCTAAGAAATTTTACTTATATCTAGAACTTATTTGCATTGAGGTGCAAAATATCATTTAATCTAAGATCAGACACTTAAACCTCTGATAAACTGAACTGGGTTCTGGCCCAGTTTATTCTTTAGAAAGTGACGCAGAATTGGAAATATTATGCATCATTTTAGACCCGAGTTCCTTTATTTTTCAGGTTTCAGGTGTGGATTATACGGAAGAGGATTAGGGCCACTGGAAAAAAAAGAAAAAGTGAACTGATTTTTAAATTTTATTTCAGTTTAGTATGGAAAATAGTTAGAATTCTGACTTTAATCCCAGAATTCTGACTTTAATCTCAGAATTCTGACTTTAATCTCAGAATTCTGACTTTAATCTCAGAATTCTGACTTTAATCTCAGAATTCTGACTTTTTTTCTCAGAATTCTGACTTTAATCCCAGAATTTTGACTTTAATCTCAGAATCCTGACTTTAATCTCAGAATCCTGACTTTAATCTCAGAATTCTGACTTTAATCTCAGAATTCTGACTTTTTTTCTCAGAATTCTGACTTTAATCCCAGAATTTTGACTTTAATCTCAGAATCCTGACTTTAATCTCAGAATTCTGACTTTAATCTCAGAATTCTGACTTTAATCTCAGAATTCTGACTTTAATCTCAGAATTCTGACTTTTTTTCTCAGAATTCTGACTTTAATCCCAGAATTTTGACTTTTTTTCTCAGAATTCTGACTTTAATCCCAGAATTTTGACTTTTTTCTCAGAATCCTGACTTTAATCTCAGAATTCTGACTTTAATCTCAGAATCCTGACTTTAATCCCAGAATTTTGACTTTAATCTCAGAATCCTGACTTTAATCTCAGAATTCTGACTTTAATCTCAGAATTCTGACTTTAATCTCAGAATTCTGACTTTAATCTCAGAATTCTGACTTTTTTTCTCAGAATTCTGACTTTAATCCCAGAATTTTGACTTTAATCTCAGAATCCTGACTTTAATCTCAGAATTCTGACTTTAATCTCAGAATTCTGACTTTTTTTCTCAGAATTCTGACTTTAATCCCAGAATTTTGACTTTTTTCTCAGAATCCTGACTTTAATCTCAGAATTCTGACTTTAATCTCAGAATTCTGACTTTAATCTCAGAATTCTGACTTTTTTTCTCAGAATTCTGACTTTAATCCCAGAATTTTGACTTTAATCTCAGAATCCTGACTTTAATCTCAGAATTTTGACTTTTTTTCTCAGAATTCTGACTTTAATCCCAGAATTCTGACTTTTTTCCATACTAAACTGAAATAAAATTTTAAAATCAGTAAACTTTTTTTTTTTCCAGTGGCCCTTCTGTAGGATTAAGATCAAAATGAGGAATGACATTAAAATGGGTTTTATTTTTTCATGTTATACTTTAAAAAAAAAAAAAAAAAAACAAATTCATGGACTTTATCAGTAAAATAAGATTTCCTTTACATTAAACATGAGTAACATTTATTTTCTCTCACGATTTAAAAACCACTAGATGCAAATAAAAGCAGCGTCCGTCGTATGAAAGCTCTGCAGGGAAGAAACTTCTTCTTCCTCTGCGGTCTTCCAGGTTATTTACAGTAAACAGACGCTAAGCCCCTCCCCCCCCAGCTCAGAGTTCAGCAGTTCATCGCTCACAGTGACGATAACAATCATACAAAGATCACTGAGCGTGACGTCAAGCTGGATCCACATTAAAACCTTTCCAATCCATGAATGCTGGAGGTTCTGTGTTCTGACCCGAGCCGTTGGTTCCAGCTGCTTTAAAAGGTCTCCGTTCCTTTTAACCGTCAGATCTAAATCGGCTTATTTTCCAGGTCGCCTCTCTGCCTACAGAGACTCTTCAGTCCTCCCCTAGAGAGGATTTTATGAACTCTAACCAATAGACAAGAACCATTAGGAGGAAGGGTTCCACCTTTTCCTTCTTTAGAAATGCTGCTGGTTTAGTTCCTGAACCTGAAACGGATCAGAACAGCAGTTATTCGTTAACTCTGGGTTCCATTAAAATCATTAAAAGTCGTTAAATTATTATTTTTTTTTAATTAAGGCCTTAATTGGCATTAAAATGTATTAAATGTGATTATAGTGGCATTTAAAATGCTGTATTTAAAAAAAGATTGTATGTTGGATCAGAAGGAAAGTTTGATCAGAAATGTTTCCAAGGTGAGAACCAGCTCTGACCCAAAAGACCTCGGTCTGGTCTCACATTCCCCACGAAACATAACGGTGATCCTCTTTGAGAAGATGTTCTCTAGACTAATGAGACTAAAGTCGACCTTTTTGGAAGGTCGGTTTCCTTTCATTTGAATTTACTTAAGAGACAAAATGTGAATAAGAAAAGTTTCATCCCCAAACGGGAAGGACTAAAGCAGAGGAGCTGAAGGAAGCCGACATCCAGAGATGTTTCTGGTTTTAGGACTCGGATGGGTTCCCCTCAGAACTGTTTGTTCCAGACGGTTCTCCTTCAGGACCCGGCAGATCTAGAACTCTTTAAGCGCCCACATGTCGGCTGTGAGGTCAGCGGCTCTGACCGGCTGCCGCTCGTTAATTTGGGTCATGATGTACGAGCCGCCAGCGGATCAGCGGCTGAGGGAAAAGCCTGCTGTAGTTCAGGGTTTCTGTTGGAGGGGGGAGGGTAGTTCTCTGGTGTGACAGCACCCCCTGCTGGTCAGCAGGAGCACAGCACTGCTGCAAACATGGTGGACTTCCTGTTTCTTATTTGCTTTCTTTCTTTTCTTTTTCTCAGCGCTGCCTTCTGCCAGAGACACCCCCAGTCCCATCGATCCCGAGTCCATCCAGGTCCCGGTGACCTACGAGCCCGACCCGGCAGACCTGGCCCTGTCCAGCGTTCCTGGTCAGGAAATGTTCGACCCGAGGAAACGCAAGTTCTCTGCGGAGGAGCTGAAGCCACAGCCGATGATCAAGAAAGCCAGAAAGGTCTTCATCCCTGAGGACCTGAAGGTGAGAGAATGTTCTCCGTCGGGTCGGTTCTTACGGTGAATTAGTAAATTAACAGAAACTTCCTTATCGATACATGAATTTATAGCAATAAAATAAAAAAGCTTGATTTATTTATATTGGCATTTTGGAAGTACAATATTTTTGTCTTGTCTTTCCTCCTATCTTTCCTTCCTTCCATCCTTCCTTGCTTCCTTCCTTCCTTTGTTTTTTCCTTGCTTCGTTCTGCTTGATTTATGCCGGTAAAAAGCTTTATTATAATTCATGTAGGGAGAATGTTAGTAGAACAGAAAAAGAAAAGGAGAAAAGATGAAAAAAAAGATAGATAAAAAGGAGATAATGATTCCTTCCTTCCTTCCTTCCTTCCTGCTTTCCTTCCTTCCTTCCTTACTCCCTCCCTCTCTCCCTTCCTTCCTTACTCCCTCCCTCCCCCCTTCCTTCCTTCCTTCCTTCCTTATTTCCTTCCTTCCTTCCTTACTCCCTCCCTCTCTCCCTTCCTTCCTTACTCCCTCCCTCCCCCCTTCCTTCCTTCCTTCCTTCCTTCCTTCCTTCCTTCCTTCCTTCCTTCCTTCCTTCCTTCCTTCCTTCCCTATGTCCTTCCTTCCTTCCTTCCTTCCATCCTCCCTCTCTCCCTTCCTTCCTTACTCCCTCCCTCCCCCCTTCCTTCCTTCCTTCCTTCCTTCCTTCCTGCTTTCCTTCCTTCCTTCCTTACTCCCTCCCTCTCTCCCTTCCTTCCTTACTCCCTCCCTCCCTCCCTCCCCCCTTCCTTCCTTCCTTCCTTCCTTCCTGCTTTCCTTCCTTCCTTCCTTACTCCCTCCCTCTCTCCCTTCCTTCCTTACTCCCTCCCTCCCTCCCCCCTTCCTTCCTTCCTTCCTTCCTTCCTGCTTTCCTTCCTTCCTTCCTTACTCCCTCCCTCTCTCCCTTCCTTCCTTACTCCCTCCCTCCCCCCTTCCTTCCTTCCATCCTCCCTTCCTTCCTGCTTTCCTTCCTTCCTTCCTTACTCCCTCCCTCTCTCCCTTCCTTCCTTACTCCCTCCCTCCCCCCTTCCTTCCTTCCTTCCTTCCTGCTTTCCTTCCTTCCTTCCTTACTCCCTCCCTCTCTCCCTTCCTTCCTTACTCCCTCCCTCCCTCCCCCCTTCCTTCCTTCCTTCCTTCCTTCCTGCTTTCCTTCCTTCCTTCCTTACTCCCTCCCTCTCTCCCTCCCTTCCTTCCTTCCTTCCTTCCTTCCTTCCTCACTCCCTCCCTCTCTCCCTTCCTTCCTTACTCCCTCCCTCCCTCCCCCCTTCCTTCCTTCCTTCCTTCCTTCCTTCCTGCTTTCCTTCCTTCCTTCCTTACTCCCTCCCTCTCTCCCTTCCTTCCTTACTCCCTCCCTCCCCCCTTCCTTCCTTCCTTCCTTCCTTCCTTCCTGCTTTCCTTCCTTCCTTCCTTACTCCCTCCCTCTCTCCCTTCCTTCCTTACTCCCTCCCTCCCCCCTTCCTTCCTTCCTTCCTTCCTGCTTTCCTTCCTTCCTTCCTTACTCCCTCCCTCTCTCCCTTCCTTCCTTCCTTCCTTCCTTCCTTCCTTCCTTCCTGCTTTCCTTCCTTCCTTCCTTACTCCCTCCCTCTCTCCCTTCCTTCCTTACTCCCTCCCTCCCCCCTTCCTTCCTTCCTTCCTTCATTATGTCCTTCCTTCCTTCCTTATGTCCTTCCTTCCTCCCTTCCTTCCTCCCCCTTCCCCCCTTCCTTCCTCGTTTTCCTTTCCCCCCCCCTCCCCCCCCCCCCTCCCTCCCTCCCCCCCCCTCCCCCCCCCTCCCCCCCCCTCCCTCCCTCCCCCCCTTTCCCTTTCCTTTCCCTTTCCTTCCTTCCTCCCTTCCCTTCCCCCCTCCTTCCCCCTCCTTCCTCCTTCCCCCCTCCTTCCTTCCTTCCTTCCTTTCCTTTCCTTCCTTTCTTTCTTTTTCCTTCCACCCCTCCCTTCCTTCCATCCTCCCTCCCTCCCTCCTTTCCTTCCCCCTTCCTTCCTTCCTTCTTCCTTCCTTTTCCTTTCTTTTTTCCCTTTCCATCCCCCCTTTCCCTTTTCCACCTCCCTCCCCCCTCCCTCCTTTCCTTCCTTTCCCTTCCTTCCTTCCTTCCTTCCTTCCTTCCTTCCTTCCTTCCTTCCTCCCTCCTTCCTTTCTTTCTTTCTTTCTTTCTTCCTTCCATCCTCCCTTCCTTCCATCCTCCCCCCCTTTCCTTCCCCCCCTTTTCCTTTTCCTTTCTTTTTTTCCCCTTAATCCTCCCTCCTTCCTTTTCCCCCCTTTTTTCCCTTCCCTTCCCTTCCTTCCCCCCTTTCCTATTCCTTTCCCCCTTTCCTTCCTTTTTCCTTCCCTTCCTTCCCCCTTTTTTTCTTTTTTTCCACCTCCCTTCCCCCATCCTCCCCCCTCCTTTCCTTCCTTCCTTTCCTTCCTTTTTTTTCCCCCCTTTTCCCCCCCCCCCCCTTTTCTTTTTTTTTTTTCCCCCCCCCCCCCCCCCCCTTTTCCCCTTCCTTTTTCTCCCCTTCCTTCCTTTTCCTCCTTTTTCTTCCTTTTTCCCTTTCCCTTCCCTTCCTCCCCCCCTTTTTTTTCCCCCTTTTTTTCCTTTTTTTCCCTTTTTCCCTTTCTTTCTTTTTTTTTTTCCACCCCCTCCCTTCCCCCCCTTTCCCTCCCTCCCCCTTTTTTTCCTTCCTTCCCTTCCCTTCCTTTCCTTCCTTTTCCTTTTTCCTTTTCCTTTTTTCCCTTCCATCTTTTTTCCCTTCCCTCCTTCCTTTTTTCTTCCCCCCTCCCCCTTTCCTTTTTTTTCCATTTTTCCTTCCTTTTTTTTCCTTCCTTTTTTTTTTTTTTCCCCCTTATTCCCTCCCTTTTTTTCCTTTTTTTCCTTTTTTCCCTCCCCTCCCTTTTTTTTTTTTTTTCCTTCCTTTTCCTTCCCCCCCCTCCTTCCCCTTTTTTCCTTCCCCCTTTTCCCTTTCCTTCCTTCCCTTCCTTTCTTTCTTCATTCCTTTTTCCTTCCATCCTCCCTTTTCCTTCCTTCCTTCCTTCCTTCCTTCTTCCTTTCCCTTCCTCCTCAATCCATCTGCACAACCCCTCCCTCCCCCCTCCCTCCCTCCTCCCTCCCTCCCTTCCTTCCCCCTTTCCCTTTCCCTTTCCCTTTCCTTCCTTCCTTCCTTCCTTCCTTCCTTTCCCTTTCCTTCCTTTCCCTTTCCTTCCTTCCTCCTTCCTTCTTTTTTCCCATCCTCCCTTCCTTCCTTTCCCTTCCTTCCTTCCTTCCTTTTTTCCCTTTCCATCCTCCCCCCTCCCTCCTCCTTTCCTTCCTTCCTTCCTTCCTTCCTTCCCTTTCCCTTTCCCTTCCCTTTCCCCTTCCTTCCTTCCTTCCTTCCTTCCTTTCCCTTCCTTCCTTCCTCCCTTCCCTTTCCCTTTCCCCCTTTCCCTTTTTTTCTTCCATCCTCCCTTCCTTCCTTCCTTCCTTCCCCCTTTCCTTTCTTCCTTCCATCCCCCCCCCCCCTCCCCCCTTTTCCTTTCCCTTTCCCTTTCCCTTTCCCTTTCCCTTCCCTTCCTTCCTTCCTTCCCTTCCCTTTTCCCTTCCCTTTCCCTTCCTTCCTTCCTTCCTTCCTTCCTTCCTTCCCCCTTTCCCTTTTCTTTCTTCCATCCTCCCTTCCTTCCCCCTTTCCCTTTCCTTCCTTTCTTCCTTCCATCCCCTCCCTCCCTCCCCCTTTCCTTCCTTCCTTCCTTCCTTCCTTCCTTTTTTTCTTTCTTTCTTTCTTTTTTCCCCTTCCATCCTCCCTCCCCCCCTCCCTCCCTTTTTTCCCTTTCCCTTTTCCTTTCCTTCCTTCCTTCCTTCCTTCCTTCCCACCTCCCTCCTCCTTTTTCCTTCCTTCCTTCCTTCCTTCCTTCCTTTCCTTTCCCCTTCCCCCCTTTCTTTTTTCATTCCTTTTCTTCCTTCCACCTCCCCCCTTTTCCCCCTTTCCCTTTCCTTCCCTTTCCCTCCTTCCTTCCTTCCTCCCCCATCAATCCCTTGCATCATCATCCCCTCCCTCCCCCCTCCCTCCCTCCCCCCCTTTTTCCTTCCTTCCTTCCTTTCCCTTTCCCTTTCCTTCCTTCCTTCCCCTCTTCCTTTCCTTTCTTCCACCTCCCTTCCCCCTTTCCTTTCCTTCCCTTCCTTCCTTTCTTCCTTCCATCCTCCCTCCCCCCCCTCCTTTCCTTTTCCCTTTCCCTTCCCTTTCCCTTCCTTCCTTCCTTCCTTCCTTCCCTTTTCCCCCTTTCCCTTCCTTCCTTCCTTCTTCCTTCCCTTTTCCTTTTTCTTCCATCCTCCCTTTCCCCTTCCATCCTCCCTCCCTTTTTTCCCTTTCCTTCCTTCCTTTCCCTTTCCTTTCCCTTTCCTTTCCCTTCCTTCCTTCCTTCCTTCCTTCCTTCCTTCCTCCTCCTTTTTTTTCTTCCATCCCCCCTTCCTTCCTTCCTCCTTCCTTCCTTCCTTTCTTCCCTTCCATCCTCCCCCTCCCTCCCCCCCCTTTTCTTCCCCTTCCTTCCCCCTTTCCCTTTTCTTTCTTTCTTTCTTTCCCCTTCCTCCTCCCTCCCTCCCTCCCTCCCTCCCTCCCCCCCTCCTTTCCTTCCCCCTTTCCCTTTCCCTTCCCTTTCCCTTTCCCTTTCCCTTTCCTTCCTTTCCTCCTTCCTTCCCCCCCCTCCCCCCCACCCTCCCTCCCCCTTCCTTTTTTTTCCCTCCCCCTCTTTCCCTTCCCTTTTCCTTTCCCTTTCCTTCCTTTTCCTTTTCCTTCCTTCCTCCTTTCCCTTCCCTTCCCTTTCCCTTTCCCTTTCCTTCCCCTTCCTTTTTCCCCCCTTTCCCCCCTTCCTTCCTTCCTTCCATCCTCCCTCCCTCCCCCCTTTCCTTCCTTCCTTCCTTCCCTTTCCTTCCCCCCTCCCTCCACCTTTCCCTTTTTCCCTTTCCCTTTTCCTTTCCCTTTCCCTTCCACCCCTCCCTCCCTCCTTTTCCCTTCCTTTTTTCCTTCCTTCCTTTCCCTTTCCTTCCCCCTTTCCTTTCCCCTTCCTTCCTTCCTTTCTTCTTCATTCCTTTCTTCCTTCCATCCCCCTTCCTTTCCTTTCCTTCCCTTTCCCTTTCCTTCCTTCCTTCCTTCCCCCCCTTCCCCATAAACCCATCAGCATAAATCCCCCCCCCCCTCCCACCCCCCTCCCTCCCTCCCTCCCTCCCTTTCCTTTCCTTTTTCCCTTTCCCTTTCCCCCTTCCCTTCCTTCCCCCTTTCCCTTCCCTTCCCTTTCCCTTTCCCTTCCTTCCTTCCCTTTCCTTTCCTTCCCCCTTTCCCCTTTCTTTTTTTCCCATCCTCCCTTTCCTTTCCCTTTCCTTTCCTTCCTTCCTTCCTTTTTTTTTCCTTCCACCTCCCTCCCTCCCCCCCTCCTTTCCTTCCTTCCTTCCTTCCTTCCCCTTCCCTTCCTTCCTTCCTTTCCTTCCTCCTTTCCCTTTCCCTTTCCCTTTCCCTTTCCCTTTCCTTTCCCTTTCCCTTTCCCTCCTTCCTTCCCCCTTTTCCTTTCTTTCTTCCATCCTCCTTCCTTCCTTCCTTTCCCTTTCCCTTTCCTTCCTTCCCCTTCCATCCCCCCCCCCCTCCCCCCCTCCTTTTTTCCCTTTCCCTTTTCCTTCCTTCCCCTTCCTTCCTCCTTTTCCCCCTTTCCCTTTCCCTTTCCCTTTCCCTTTCCCTTTCCCTTTCCTTCCTTCCTTTTTTCCTCCTTTTTCTTTTTTCTCCCCCCCTTTCCCTTTCCCTTTCCCTTTCCCTTTTCTTCCCTTCCTTTCTTCCTTCCATCCCCTCCCTCCCCCCCCTCCTTTCCTTCCTTCCTTTTCCTTCCTTTCTTTCTTTCTTTCTTTCTTCCCTTCCATCCCCCTCCCTCCCCCCTCCCTCCTTTCCTTCCTTCCTTCCCCCTTTCCTTTCCCTTCCTTCCTTCCTTCCTCCTCCCTCCCTCCTTTCCTTCCTTCCCTTCCCTTTCCTTCCCCCTTTCCCTTTCCCCCCTTCCTTCCTTTTTCCCCCTTTTCCTTTCTTTCTTTCCTTTCTTCCTTCCACCTCCCTCCTTTCCTTCCTTCCCCCCCTTTTTCCTTTCCCTTTCCCTTTCCTTTCCTCCATCAATCCATGCAGCATCAACCCCTCCCTCCCTCCCTCCCTCCCCCCTCCCCCCCTTCCTTTCCCTTCCTTCCTTCCTTTCCTTCCTTCCTTCCTTCCTTCCTTCCTTCCTTCCTTCCTTCCTTCCTTCCTTCCTTCCTTCCTTCCTTCCTCCTTCCTTTCTTTCTTCCATCCTCCCTTCCTTCCTTCCTTCCTTCCTTCCTTCCTTTCTTCCTTCCATCCTCCCTCCCTCCCTCCCTCCTTTCCTTCCTTCCTTCCTTCCTTCCTTCCTTTCTTTCTTTCTTTCTTTCTTTCTTCCTTCCATCCTCCCTCCCTCCCTCCCTCCCTCCCTCCTTTCCTTCCTTCCTTCCTTCCTCCTTCCTTCCTTCCTTCCTTCCTTCCTTCCTTCCTTCCTTCCTTCCTCCTCCCTCCCTCCCTCCCTCCCTCCTTCCTTTCTTTCCTTCCTCCCTCCCTCCTTTCCTTCCTTCCTTCCTTCCTTCCTTCCTTCCTTCCTTCCTTCCTTCCTTCCCTCCTTTCCTTCCTTCCTTCCTTCCTTCCTTCCTCCCTCCCTCCTTTCCTTCCTTCCTTCCTTCCTTCCTTCCTCCCTCCCTCCCTCCTTCCTTCCTTCCTTCCTTCCTTCCTTCCTTCCTTCCTTCCTCCCTCCCTCCTTTCCTTCCTTCCTTCCTTCCTTCCTTCCTTCCTTCCTTCCTTCCTTTCTTCCTTCCTTTCTTCCTTCCATCCTCCCTCCTTTCCTTCCTTCCTTCCTTCCTTCCTTCCTTCCTTCCTTCCTTCCTTCCTTCCTTCCTTCCTTCCTTCCTTCCTTCCTTCCTTCCTTTCCTTCCTTCCTTCCTTCCTTCCTTCCTTCCTTCCTTCCTTTGTTTTTGAAATCAAAGGTCCGTTTGTCTGCTTGTTTAAAAAGTTTTCATGCTCTGGCGGTTCTGGTTCTACAGAAACCACAATAAAACACTTTTTTTTTCATTTTAATATTGGATCTTTCCATAGTTCAGTTTTGGGTTTTCCCGGGAACGCTGCAGGCCAGGTCCGGCTCCGGGTCCGATCCACTGTGAAACGACTTTGTCTGTGGATAAAAACGGGGCCAGTGTGGAAAGCCTTGTGTTCTGACCCGTGTCGTTCTCGTCTCTGCAGGACGATAAGTACTGGGCCCGGCGCAGAAAGAACAACGTGGCGGCCAAGCGCTCGCGGGACGCCAGACGCCTCAAGGAGAACCAGATCGCCATCCGGGCCGGCTTCCTGGAGAAGGAGAACGCCGCTCTCCGCGTGGAGGTGGCAGACTTGAGGAAGGAGCTGGGCCGCTGCAAGAACATTCTGGCTAAATACGAGGCGCGACACGGGCCCCTGTGAGCCCCCCCACCCTTCCAACAGATCCCCACTCTGCTCCCAGACCCCCCCCACCCCCCCCAGCCTGAAGGACAATGTGTCTCTGGTACCCCCGCCCCCCCACCGTATGATTCTGGTCTCCCCCCATCAGCTTCATCTCTGCTCCTCCTCTGATTTCTCTGCACTGTTTGACTAAATATAAATAGATGAAAATATATAATGAACATATATAATATATATTTCCACGTGCATCCTTCCCACTGTGAGGAGTAACGAGCCAACGCCCCCCCCCCCCAACCCCCTCACTTTTCTACCTAAGGTCAGGACTAGAAACCTCCCCCCTCCTCCTGCTTCTATGGAGTCTAAAGCCCCCCCCCCCCAGCAGTATTTCCACACGTTGTTTTTTTTTCCACAGCTTATTTTCGTTTTCTGCATGCGGTCAGGAAGCAGCCCTGCTTTGATCTTCTCATTTGTGTTTTAATTTAAATTTTTATAGTTTTTCTCATGAGCAATAATTCCCACCGTGTCTCCTTCCCTTCCGGTAACTTCTGCACTAACCCGCGTCTCACAATCGGATCCGGTTCCCGCTCACTTAAAGAAAATTCCTCATATTTATCTCCCTTTTTATTTCTCAGGTGGAAGATTGTTGTTTTTATATCTATAAATAAATATGAATATATATAAATATATATATTCTGTTGATATAATTGTTAGTAGTATTACTCCTCGTTTAACCTCCTTACTTTCAGGTTCAAGCATGATTTTTTCTTGGTTTCTTTCCTTTTCTGAGTAGCTGTCAGTGATTCTTTGGATTCTGTTTGACTTGGCATGACTAGTCCGAGTGTTCTGTTCTTTTTTTTTTTTTTTGTTGTCGGAGGAAGCGATGCAGATGTGCGTCTTTAGTGTCCGTCTAGCTGTGAGTTCGCCTTCTTTTTTAAAGATGGCTGTTTTTGAATGTAAAAAGACATGAAAAGGTTGGATGGTGTTGTCCAATACCGTGGTTAACCCAATCAGCTAAACCATTAATGACTCAGACCATCCTATAAATCTATACGCTGTTCCTGTTTGTACAGTATTTTTCCAATATAAATATTGGGAAAAAAATATATATATACATATGAATATAAAGAAACTGGTGAAATGTGTATTTTAAAGGCCCAATAGGTCCAGAGAATTATTACAAATATGTGTTTAATAAAAAATAAATAAAAATATAGAGAAGTATTTTGATATTCTCTCAGAGGGAATGGGAAGGAAAACAGCAGAAACCAAAATGTTGTGGGCATTATTTTTATTATTATTAGTGATATTCTTATGATTTTAACACTCCTCCTCATGTCGGTGCCCCTTTTAGGCCTCAAACACAGGAAAAAAACAAAAAAAGGTCTAAAATTTAACGACTTCCCCAAACGCTTCACTTCAGTTTTTAATGTCGACGTTTCAGTGATGAACACTGGAAGTCTTTTAGCTGTCACGTTAGTCAGGTTTGAAGAAGCCAAGCTCTAAAAACGATTGGAAACAAACTAAATTTGGATACTCTTACTTCAAGTATGGAAGTCCAGAGGTGCCTAAATTATTGGCCTTTTTTTTTTCACAAATAAGTAAAAATTATGTGGATGATCAATGCTTTTGATTTAAATCTCAGCCATAATGGAAATTATCACAATCTGATTTAAAAAAAAAAAAATTTCTTTGTTTTTTTGCAACATACAGTGTTAGAAAAATTCCCCTCAAAATCCTTAAAGTAGCCGAGAGGCGTTTTTTAGCTGTTAATGTACCAAAGATTGTATAAGAAGCACTTTGCTGACACCTACTGGTCAGGCCTATGCCCAATTAATGTCACACATTTTCACATTAAATACATTTATTGATTATGATTTATTTTAATAAAGCTGCTTTGTTATCAGAATCCACATTAGCTTTTGGTTTTTGGCTGTTTCTAGGGTTCTAAAGATTTTATTTTATTTGCGGGTCTAGTAGATAAATTTATTAGAACCGCATAAACCTTCTTCTTCCTCTACTTTGAAAAATAAAGTATAAAATGTTTACATTCCTGTAAATGTTCTTGAGAAAGAAAGATTATTCCCCTACTGAAGACTAGGAGGCGCCGGCCCCTTAAGAAATTAAACAACAGCATAATTTAACCAGCTCCTATCAGGTTCTATTTGCTTTCTAAAATGAAGCAGACAAAGCTTTTAAACACTCTTAAACCTTTTTTTTTCCTTTTTTAAATTATTTTTTTTGTAATTTGGCATCTCAGGACTTCCGTATTTGCCCCCTTGTCTCAATTTCATCATTATCTTTTGTGTTTTCTTCTTTTAAAAGTCACAAAATGAACCAAAAGCGTCAGAACGTTCTCTCCTGTAACATACAACTCTCACATTCCGTTTCCGAGCCGATCCAGCGGTGTTTTCGATGCTAAATAATCGTTTCGTGATGCAGTCGTCTTTTGTTCTCTTTATTTCCGTCGACCTCCAGAGCTTCTGTTTTCATTACAGCCACACAGGAAACGGCCAATAATCAATCCATGATATCTCAAACCTTACCTCACTTGTGGAGTGATGTCACTACCTCACCTGGAAACGTAAACCATAACCGTGAGTCTATTCCAGTGCCTTTAATCCGCCGACTGTTCCCCGGTCTCCCGGCAGTGTAGACGTTTGACCCCAGCGCCGCCCTGGTGGCTTCCAAACTGCACCGAAGGGCTTCTCCGTGCTTTCAAACCAATGTGAACCTCTATATTTTGGACATTGCAGCAGATTTGTAACCATTGTATTCACGGCAACACCAACAGACTGTTTCAGAGTGTATTTAAAGAAGAGCTTAAAGGGGTATTACGTTCTGTTTCCTCGTCAGTCTTTAGACTCTGTCTGTAATTTCTAGTGTCTAATAAAAAACCCTGTTCTTTTTTCTGTCGTGTTTTCATTTTCTACACAAAATAAGTGGTAATTTTAATCACTTTGAAGTAGTTTTTGTTTTTTCTAGAATCATATTTCTATCAAGTTTAGGTATTAAAACTTGTACATCAGAGATGCAAAGCAGTTAGCATTCATACATTCACTTCAGTTCAAGTATCGTAGTAAACTATAGACAGAGACCAGAGGTCAGGGATTAGCGGAACACGGTCCAGATCCGGACCCAACCTTATTTAAAACATTTATAAATTACTGCATGTTGTCCAATGGCAGTGTGTAATTTCTCTTGCTCCTCTTCTCCTGTTAATACGGTAAAGCCCTGGGAAGCGTCCGGCTCCAAGCTGCACGTGATCCAAATGAGCCAATGAGCTGTCAGTCTGGGTTGCTGCTGCTGCTACTTTTAGACACAGCAGGCAAACCTGTAAGGACCAACTCTGCCATATTTAAAAATAAATAAATGCTCAATAAATAAATAAGCATACAATTAATTGCCACCAAAAAAACAATAAACAAATAAATGTAAGTAGAAATTAAATTATACAGTGAGATATAAATGTAAATAACTTTTAATTAGCTTCTTTATTTATTTGCCTTTGTAATATTTACCTTATTTTTTTGTCCTTTATAATCTTCAACCTTATTTTTTAATTACTTATATTTTTAAGTATTTATTTATGTGCATGTTATAATATTTTTGTGTTTTATTCTTCCTTTGAAGTTGACTCTCTAGGACACGCCCCCTCCTCATTTGCATAATGAGGCAGAAAAGCTTAGAGAAATGTAAAAAGGGCAGACAGAAATAAATAGCCGCGAAGAAATAACTAGGGTAAAAAAAAAAAATACAAAGGAAGAATAAAACAGACCAAAATATTATAACATGCACATAAATAAATATTTTTTATTTAAGTACAAAGATTGATGTTCAAAAAAAAAATTGAAGGAGACCAGCCAAGGAAAGTGGGGAAATTTTGAATGGCTACTACTGTAAGTCTCCATTCTGGAATCTGACTGAAGAGTTCTGCTCTGCCTGGAGGTGGAAGATCTATGACCTTCATCCCTTTCAACGCACAGTAATGGAGGAGGTATGAGAGGATATTAACCAGGCATCATGTCAGGCATGGATACGGCATCCAGGAGATATTTCCCATGGTGCCTTGGACAAGAGGACACTGCATGTGATGCGGTTTATTTGTGTGTAGAGTTTTGCACAAAAAAAAATGCCAATAGTTACCAAAATTGTGCTTAATCCAACAAAAATAAACAATTTGCAGGATTCTTTTCTGTCTCCTTGAACCCCAGTTGGCCTTAGTTTGAGGTTTCTTCCTGATAAAAGGGAGTTTTTTCTCTCTACTGTCACTACAAGCATTATTGGTGTGAGGTAGAGTCCATGAGTCGATGCAATCATCTGGTTGTCCTTAGAAAACTTTAAACCAATCTGACGGGATGATCTGGGTGAATTGTTTCTGTAATTTACCTTCAGATGACATGTGTTGTGATTGGGTCTTTATAAATAAACAGAATTTAATTGAATTGAAATCCCATTTCTTTATTGAAGTTAATTTTAAGAAGGGGTAGAAGAGTATTTCCTTGTGCAGATCGCAGCTAAAAAGAGATTTCCAGAATATCGTTCTTTTATCTCTGGACTATTGCAAGAGTTAGAAATATCCTGTCAAGCAGGGATGCTGAGAAACGAGTCCATGAATTTGTTACATCAAGCTAATTCGTTACTATCAGGAAGTCCACAAACACTAGTTAAAGGTCTTCAGCTGATCCAAAAATGCTGAGTTCTGGTGGAAATTAAAAACAAAGATCATATTTTTTCCTATTCTAGCTTCTCTTCGTTGACTTCCTATTAAATCCAGGAATAAATGTTAAATCCTCCTCACAAGCCAAGCTCCATTCTATATCAGAGATATGATTCTTCTTTATGTTCCTAACAGAGCAAATCTTTTAGTTATCAGGCTCCATCCTGTGGAACCAGCTACTAGATTTATATTTTCATTATACTGTCACAAGTATAGCATAATGAAATTCACTCTGTTCATTTAACCCATCCCAATTAGGGAGCCATTTGCTGCACCCGGGGATGTGTCTCGTTAAGGGTCTTTGCTCAGGGACCTATGCTGCTATAGGCTTAGACTGCTGGAGGACATAGGGTCCACTTTCATCATTCTATCTCTTCTTTCACATAATGCAGAATCTGTTAGTTCAATCTCTAACGTTCTGCTCTCTCTGCTTTTTCTCATAGTAGCTTCATCTGGTCTGTTCCTGTTTGGCCTGTTTTCCAGTGTAGTCCTGTTTCTCTGACTGTGACTGACTGGATGTGCTCTCTTCATCCTCTTACATGGGAGCTGGCTCTGTGTAAAACGTCTTCCTGGCTGTGTTTCCTGGATGGTGCCGTCTTTTACAGTTCCCTTTTGTATCTTTACTTCTGTCTCCTTGAACCCCAGTTGGCCTCAGCAGATGGCCGCTCACACTGACTTTGGATCTGCTGGACGTTTCTTCCTGTTAAAAGGGAGTTTTTCCTTTCCACTGTCGCTACAAGCATGCTTGAAGTGAGGGATTGCCATTGAGTCAATGCAATCAACTGGTTTTCCTTAGAAAAGTTTAAATCAATCAGTGTACAGTATGTTCTGGTTGAACTGTCTCCGTAAAGTGACTTAAAATTACATGTGTAGTTAAAGGGTGCGATATAAACTGAATTGAAAAAGTAGTAAACATCCCTGCCACTGTGCAGGGGTATTTTAATTGAGTAATTGTCAATTTGTTGTCACAGTTTTACTCTGAGTAATATCTTTGTGAAACAGAAAAAACAGGTCATGCAGGAGTTCACCCCTAACTATGGATCGCCATTATCAATGCTTTGTGAAATCATACCCTGGAGGAGGACTGTATGATTCAGGCTGATTTGGTTCTGAAATCAGATTTTCATGAACTGGGTCACTGATATAAAAGTCTGGGATTTTGTCAAAAGTTTCCCAGCTGGGTTTAAAAGGACATAAACTGACCAGTTTAAATGATTTTTATAGTTCTGAAATGAAGCATGAAAGAAGTCCAGACACACCAAGCTGCAGAATTCGTCATCTTTATTGTCACATTGCCGAATTGGTTTTCAGTGCAGTGGAGGAGCGTTCGTATTTTATACAGCACCATTACCAGCCAGTTAAACAGACACCAAAAGAAAGAAAATCAAGCAGCTCGTCTCTGAAAAAAGGCCAGGATCGTATGATCAGCAGAAGATAGAAATATACAAAACAGTCTGAAGGAACGACAAGAGTCATGATTAGTAAAACATGTGCAGAGGTTCGGTTTCAGACATCGCTAGCATAAACAAACAAACAGGAAATGTACAAAAGCTCCGATCAGAACGTCCTTATGATACAAACACTGTTCAAATTCACTGTGCAAAAATCAACAAACCACAGGAAATGTTACAGCGGACACCAGCGCTCACAAACACACAGATCACAGTTTTTACAAAATAATTATACTGCCTTTAAACGGGGAGTCTCCTCGTTCGGCTCATTAACGTCCCACTACACTGAAATACTGAGGAATGCTCCAATAACAGCGGCCACCACCAGAGGGCGCCATGAGGCTTCAGGAGAGATTGGATGAACAAAGTGCACACTGCTCAGTTTAAATGAGGAAAAACACGCCGCAGCTGAATCACATCAGCTGAATGAAAAGAAGCTCCACTTCCTGCCTCCATGATGAATCCCATTTTTAATTTAATGTGCTTTATTTCAGCTTTGGTATCTCTAATTAAATCCACCAAGAGCCGATGATAAAGCTGATTTTAGCACCTGATGAAACCCTTAAAGAGGAATGTGATTCACTTTCTAGTGGTTATAAAAGATTTCATCAAATGTCAGAAATACTCGGATATTTTTCCTTTTATAAAACTCTAAGTATCATCAGAGGATTCTGGGAAACTCGTCCTCCTGGTTAGAAAACAGTAAACAAGTAAAGGTCATGGTAAACTTTTCCTGTTCGAGTTGCAGCTTCAGCGGGCAGCGGAGGGGGCGGGGCCTTCAGGTTCAGGAGTGGAGGAGGGACTCGGAGCTGGGCGCCTTGTACAGGTACTTCCAGATGGCGTAGTAGTGCACGGCCGCAGCCAGCGCCACGAACACGTGCCAGATGGCGTGGGCGAAGGGGATGACGCCGTCGCTCTTGAAGAAGAAGACGCCGAGGCAGTAGATGAGTCCGCCATACGCCAGCTCGTAGAGACCGTCCGTGTTGCTCTGTGGTAGAAATAAAGCGACTGATTTTAAATCAACAGATCAGATCCAACCAGACGTGGATGATGGCGTTACAGAATTACTGAGGCTTTCCTTCGTTCCGTGTTTATTTTCTGTTGTAAAACTGTGGAGACACATTAGATCAGGGAAGGGCCGCATAGAGCTGCGTGAATTAAACCTTTGATTTCATCTACAGAGACCACGGCTCTGGTGTTAAAACTTTACTCAGATTTATTCATTTTTAGTTCACCATTTTTGTTTACCTTAAAGGAATAGTACACCCAAAACATGATTAGCCTTCATTTTCTACTCACCCCCATGCTGAACAACACTCTGGAGTACTTTTTTGATATCTCAAATGCATCTGGAGATCTGGGAGGCTTCTTGCTGTCTGCTGACATTCAAATAATGGAGGTCTATGGCGCCCGAGGCAGAAAGGTCCATAAAAGTCCACAAAAAACGTGTCAATATTCCTCCATACTGCTCGTCCAATGTATTCCAAGTGTCCTGAGTGGGTAGCGTCCAGAATTTACTCGAAACGAAGTCATTTAGAATGTTTTTAGCGCATAAACAGTAGTGTATAGGATTTCCTGAAAGCGCCTTCACGACGCTACGGAAACCGCGGCAGACCAAACCAGATGAAAGTGCGCATTCAGCTCGGCAAAGAACTCATGCTCTTCCTCAACACTGAAGTCCTCAGACATTTTTCTTTCGTTGTTTCTTTCTTTGCACAGGTAAACAGCACATTTCTTCTTCTACGCTTGCATTATCGGCAGAGCAGACGCTGAATGCGCACTTTCATCTGGTTTGGTCTGCCGGCTTCCGTAGCGTCGTGATCGCGCATGTGCGCGCTTTCAGGAAATCCTATACACTACTGTTTATGCTCTAAAAACATTCTAAATGACTTTGTTTCGAGTAAATTCTGGATGCTACCCACTCAGGACACTTGGAATACATTGGACGAGCAGTATGGAGGAATATTGACACGTTTTTTGTGGACTTTTATGGACCTTTCTGCCTCGGGCGCCATAGACCTCCATTATTTGAATGTCAGCAGACAGCAAGAAGCCTCCCAGATCTCCAGATGCATTTGAGATATCAAAAAAGTACTCCAGAGTGTTGTTCAGCATGGGGGTGAGTAGAAAATGAAGGCTAATCATGTTTTGGGTGTACTATTCCTTTAAATTAACTTCTCACTCTACTTTATGACATCATGTGACAGTAGGCCTTTGGCTGCCATAAGGGACCGGATTCGGGCCTCAACTTGCACCTGTGAGTCTGATATTTGTCCTTAAATGGACAGTATGGAACACAGTTGGATTTTTATGAGACCAAATCAAGTGTGTGTAACCCACGTCATGTTGCGCTCTTATTGTGGCGGGCCCTGTCCTTTAAAGGAAAAGTCATATTCAGAATTTTAATCTTCTGAAAGTACTTTAAATATGAAATTATTAATGCTCAATAAATGATAAGTGTTTTTAATTAAGAGTAATTTTCATTTGAATATATGACGCATTTTGTTGTAAAAAAGACATCATATGATGTCATATGATTTCTTTTGTTGACAGGATCAGAATTCTGGGAGTTTCTAGTGTAAACAGAACAACAAACAAACTCCAGACTGAACTGAAACCTCAATAGGCCGATTAGTTTCTTTGTGGTTTTCTGTTTTCTGACATTATAACTGTTAATTCTACTGAATATTGTTTCTAATATCCATCTATATATCTATAGATCTATCTATATCTATGCATCTAGATAGATGTAGATATACAATCTAGACAGATATACATCCAGATGGATAGATATAAAACCTTTATTAATTATTGTTATTATATGGCTCTTTAACATATATGTGCCACCTTTTACAGTTGCCTTTTGTATCTATGCTTCTTTTTCTATGTCTGCTTCTGTCTCCTTGAACCCCAGTGGGCCTCAGCAGATGGCCGCTCACACTGAGCCTGGTTCTGCTGGAGGTTTCTTCCTGTTCAAAGGGAGTTTTTCCTCTCCACTGTCGCTACACGCATGCTTAGAGTGAGGGATTGCTGAAGAGTCAATGAGTCGATGCAATCAGCTGGTTTTCCTTAGATAGAAAACTTTGAATCAATCTGACTGCATGATCTGGTGAACTGGAAAGTGTCTTAAAAATGACGTGTTGTGAATCGGCGCTATAGAAATAAACTGAATAGAATTGAATATATGCAGTTGATGTTTCTACCTTGTAGAAAATTAATATACGATTCATCAACCCTATTTGTTTTTTCTTTTGTTCAAACCCCTTTATTCCATGGCCGTACTGCTCCGATGTTCTTTCCCAGTCAGTCCTGATTGTGTTACATTTGCACTAAAACCTTTAAAACCACAAGATGGCAGCAGAGAGTCTGCATTTTACTCGGATCTAAAATATCAGACAAATATGAGTAACTTCACCTCATCTGTGATTTGTTATTAAACAGAATTACTCCTGCTGATAGACATTAGAAAACAGAAGCAGATCTTCTTACCATCGATGTTATTACTGATGCAGGAAAAAATCCCATGGTCAAATAGAAGGCCAGCTCCACCAGTTTATACCTGTGAAGAAAAGGACGCCTTAAAACAGAAAACTGATTCAGGAAACCTTCAGGAGAGATTACAGAAGCCGGGTTCTGGTTCTAAACTTGAGCTGCAGCCACTTTCTAACAGCTTCCATTAAAACGCAGAGAAAGATCAGGTTTAGGACATTTTAAAGGAAAATTCCGGTTTTTAACACTTTTAGCCCATTTTCTGTAGTGTCCAGGATGAAATCGAATGATCGACACCAAAATTTTGACAATTGGTCCTGTCTCTGCTATTTGGCTCATGCAGAATCCCCCCCTGGCTGTTTTAGAATGGCTTCCATAGTGCATGTCCGATAATGTCCTTAAAACAACCTTAAACGTTCTTTTTTTAAATATGCTACTCACCGGGTCGTCAGCGCTGTTCAATGACGTTCCAAAAAAAGTTTTGTGAAGAAAAAACGTTCCTGTAGTGTTTTATTTAGCATTTTGTAAATCCCATTGAGTTCTGTTGGAATAGTCAATATCCCTCCGCCACCGGAAACGGAAATTGGGAAAAGACTACACTTAGTTGTAGTCTTTTCGCTTCACTCTGTGTACTCCGACGTCGAGGTGCTAACGTCTCTGTTAAACACTTTAAAAAACTCTGAAAATGGAATACGAAAGGTGGATTCTTGAGGAGGACATATTGGACTTTGAGTTTGACGGTAGAGGATACCGTCGCCAACTAGTGGTCTGGAGTGTGCAACGCTTCAGATTCGAACGGGAAGCGGAAGTTTATAAGCGGTTGTGATGTATCGGAAAAAATAGTTCTGGGATTTACAAAATGCTAAATAAAACAAGACAGGAACGGTTTTTCTTCACGAAACTTTTTTTGGAACGTCATTGAACAGCGCTGACGACCCGGTGAGTAGCATATTTTAAAAAAAGAACGTTTAAGGTTGTTTTAAGGACATTATCGGACATGCACTATGGAAGCCATTCTGAAGCAGCCAGGGGGGGATTCTGCATGAGCCAAATAGCAGAGACAGGACCAATCGTCAAAATTTTGGTGTCGATCATTCGATTTCATCCTGGACACTACAGAAAATGGGCTAAAAGTGTTAAAAAACGGAATTCTCCTTTAAGAAGATCTCCATGAAACAGGAGCTGCGGTGGCTTTGTCACAGAAAACACCAATTGGTTTGATTTTCTTGGGATTATTCTCCTTGATGATGTGTGGGTCTGTTAAACCCTAATAATATCTGCCTGTTGCATGCCAGAAATTATGTTTTCCCAAGTAGTTTATTTAATTATGACAGTTCCTCTATCGGGATATACAGTTATGTGCATTATGTAGTGATTTGGGAATGAAACGAGTTCTCTGTGCTTTTATCTCAAACACTCTGTAGTAGTTATGGTGTAGGTAATAGATCTGCTCGGGGTGCCGCCCCTTCTAATGACGTCAACATATGGCAACCCCACTCGGACAAACTGTATTGCTACAGTTTCTTAACAGTTCAAATCTGTTTTGGAGTCTCAACATATTATTACCTATATTTGCTATTATTTTTACATTTCATTGATGATCTAAAGTAGCCGAAAGTAAAAAAAAACAATCATTCTCAGGCTTGTAAGAATTTCCTGCAAAAAGTATTCTTTTTATTAAGATCTGAGGACAGGAAAGACAAATGGAACATCTCAAAGATGACTTTCGTAGAAATTTTAGACAAAACAGTTATTCTGCTTGTAGAAAATGAACGGTTATTGTTTACACGAGGTTAAAAATAGCGTAGTCTAATAGAGGCTAACCTATTAGCTACTGAACGGAGCTAGCTACAGCGCTACCTAGCTCTCTACCTTTACACCATGGTCTGACAGTTACTTTGTTTACCATAAACAGAATTTTGTTCCAGTTTTTTATTGCTCAGGTAAAACTTCCTCGTTCATTAGACATGCTAACACTACAGATGCTCCCTAATCTGGACACGGAAGCTACGCAATGTTATTATCGTTGTCTTTTGGTGAACTCAAGCCAAAGCAATCTACACTCGATAGAGTTGAGCAGCTTCTAGCCAATGAAATGAGCTCATATTCATCATGTGACACAATGGCTGGGCTCAGCGCTGTTCCCGGCTGAATGAGGAATCTTTTTTTTTGTTAAACAGGTAGAATTACAAAAATTAGAGTTTTTCCTCTTATCAGATTGGGTGAAACAACTGAGCCAATCACAGCTAGTACGGCACCCCTGTCTGTTTGCCGCCGCCATGTTGCCTCTGGCCGAAAAGAAGAAGAAAAAAAGAATGCCGCCGGCCGCTTCTTCCGGATCAAACCAAGAGCCTCGGCAGACAGGGGTGCCGCACTAGCTGTGATCGGAGCCATTGTGTACCGTGACCAAATGAGCTAATTTTATTGGCAAGAAGCTGCTCGAATCTATCGAGTGTAGAATGCTTTGGCTTGAGTTCACAAAAAGGTCAACACTTTTGCGGCTGAATTTATTTCTGGTGAATTTTTACCAGATAAAAATTGAGTGTAAGGAATTCAATATCTAAAAAAATTCAGTGTTAAAAATTCAGTGTTAAAAAAAAGGCAGATTCCAATGAGACTGTGTTTCTTCCATAGAAAGAGCACTTTTCTGTTGTGGTTCTATAAAAGTATGTTTTAAGATCAATTTGAGGCAAGAACATCACACTTTAAAATGTCACTATGTGGACCATTTACTTATTTAGTGCGTAATTTCTCTCTCCTTGCAAAGCATTCCAGGATATATCTTCTTGTCTAGTGACCATGGATAATCACTACTATTCCAGATGCATTTTAGGAAATTTCGAGTCCGCTAAATCTTTTATCCACTAGACATTCGGACACTGATCTAAAATGGCGTAACCACTATTTAGTGCCCTATATATGGATTAGGGTGGATGTTCAGATACAGGCACTGAATGAGTTTTCAGGTAAATACACATCACTGGAGTTTTAGTGCCATTAAACCCGGAAGATACAGGCCTATCGCCCCCTAGTGGCAAAACATTACCCAGCTTTAAAGTGGAAATGAAAGGATGAACCAAACTTTGGTCCTCCATCAAACTAAAAGTATTTTTTTTGAGCGAACTAACCCACCAAAAATGATAAAACCCTTTTTTCTTTTACGTTTAGATTTTTCCACGTTTGTAATATAATTATTGATCATAGCAGGACATCATAGGTTGGTTTGGTTAATCGTTTCATTTCCACTTTCATGAAGAGTCTTCCTGACAGGTGCTAGCTGCTTCAGTTTGGACCCAAACTCACTTTTCATGATAGTTGAAGACATAAATGGTTCCAGCAGCAGCCATGAGCCACACAAACCAGCGCATGTGTGCCGCTAACGGGCCGAGCTCTCGCAGGTTCAGCCTGAGTGAAGACAAGAGCAGAGCAGTGAGCTGAAGTAAGGCTCCATGCTAAACAGCATGGGGGGGGGCTGAGCCTGACACTCACCACGGCGTGTAGGAGGCAGCGATGAAGAAATAGATGACTACTCTGTCACACATGTGGAAGCACTGCTCCACCGACCTGCAACAGGTAAACACTGGTTAGACTGGATCAGCTTTATAGCCACATTTGGCAAATTAGGAATGTACACTGGAAAAACCATCTAGAAATAAATTAAAATATCTTAAATTAAGCGTTTTTACCCTTAATTTGAGCAGGTAAATGATATAGTTTGCCAATGGAATGAGTATTTTTACACTTAAAATAAGATAATTAGATAATATGCACTTGAAATAAGAATGCAATTCTTCTTTTCTTATTTTAATTGTAAATTGTCTTGTTTCATTGGTCTCTTTTACCTCCTCAATCCAAGAATAAATGCAGTTATTTTAAGAAAAAATGATCTACCTAGAATACGATTTTTTCCAGATTAAGGACCAAAAATGTCTCTTCAATTCAGGACCAAAAGAAACGCTCATTACTGACACCAACTTCGACCAATAAAATGTTGCTAACGTTTGGGCTGCAACCAATGATTATAAGCAATAAAATTATCAGAAATTAAAGTAATAACATGATTAGTTTTTCAATTAATCAATTCATCGGATAGCCAAAAGTTCCATAAAGAAGATTTTCTGCGAAATTAAACCAAGTGAAACTAAACATGTTCCACTTGAGGAGTTCTGGAAATAACATACTGACAGACGTAAAAGTTTTTTATCTTAAATGCAAAATGTTGAACATATTTTGTTTTACAAGTTTGGTATGATTTTTTTTACGATAATTTCAATAATCGATTAATCGCAATTAATCCGAATAATTGTTTCAGCTCCATTTTCGCTCCTCATTCCAGAGGAAAGTGAAGAGAATGTGATCTGGAAAATTTAATTTGAAAAGAACTTAAAAGTGAAGGAGAAATTTAAAAACCAAAATTTGGATATAATGTCTGAAAAAAAACTGCAAAGATACTCTAAAATGTTTTTTCTTAATTAAAGTTATAGTGGAGGATGTTCTTTTTCCGGGTGGATCATCAAAATAAGTGGTCCTCCTAACTGTCAATCATTCTGGTGATATGTTTAGAGGCCGTCCTACGTGTTCGTCCCCATTTTCACTTAACTGGGATGAGTCTAAAAAAGTAGAAAAATTGCAAATCTTCTTTTGGAAATTAAGCTTTTATGAGCGAGGCTAACAGCAACGTTTAAACAGATCGTGCACGAGGAGAAATGGGCTCTTGCACGCTTTCACACACGTTTAATAGGCGTTCCCTCTCAGGAGCAGGGTTGTACAGAAACCCTGTGGAGAGGGCGGGTCTTCAAAAATTCGAGAAAATCCTCCACTATAGCTTCAAGATTTTTAAAGTTTTGTATGTTTTAAATTACATTTCAAAAAAGTTTTTTTGATTTCTACAATAATGCAAGAAAATTCACTAACTGCTGAAAAGCAAAAGTGAGGACTAGGACCGGGTGATTAATCGATTTTATGGAGTATTTTAATCTTTTGTTCATGAAGACTTTTTTTTTTACCCACCAATCCACTACTTGGGCGTCTGTAGCTCAGAGGGACATCAGTTCAACACTTTTTGTTGTTAAATGCGAACTTCTAACTGATAAACTTTGTCAGACGACCAGCTGAAAACAATTAGTCTGTTATATTTTCATTCTTTGTTGTTAAACAGGACATTTTGAAAAGCATGTTTAACAGCTTCAGTTTCAGTGCCCTTTAAATTGAGGTCACATCTGGGAGTGGATGAGTGAAATCAAAGCATTGCGTTCTTTATTTTTATTCTAGAAACTTCGGTGGATAAAAAAAGAAAAATTGCTAATATTTTCAAGCCACATGGCTCAGCCATAGCCTGAGGAGCTAATCTGCTGCTGCGACTGAAGCTCAGTCAATATTAAGGCTGCAAAAAACAATTATTTGCAAATCGATTCCTCTGTGGCTTATTTTTTTTGATTAATTAATTAATAATAGGATAGACAAAGGTTCTTTAAAGAAGATTTCCTAACTAAATTAAACCAGGTGAAACTAAAACTTTTCCATTTGAGGAGTTCTTGATAGAGCGTACTGACAGACGAAAACCTTTTTTTATTTGAATGCAAAATCTTTGTATTATAGTAATTATATTCAACTTTACAATCTGGATATAATTACTGCTATAAACGTGTCGCTCTGTCAGCTAAAGGCATGTTTTACCGTCTCTACACTCCAGTTAACGATTAATCAATTACTAAATTAGTTGATCATTATTTCAGTAATCCTTAAATCACAATTAATCTGATTCATTGTTTCAGTGAAGTTTTCTATTTTCCTACAGTTTAAAGTGAAGCAACACCTTTGTAGTGGGAAAAAAGTATTCAGTCTAGTTAAATAAACAGAGATCGATGTATTTCATATCTTTGCAAAGATAGAACAGTTCATCATACGACCCTTATGGCACAGTTTTTAGCCCCGTTCTGCCTGAGCAGCGTTCGTTCCCCTTTACTAACAACAATGGAAAGTAGTCAGATTCAAAACAACACTTTGGCACTTAGGTTAATAGTAACATATTATGAATAAACCTTGAGAAAGAATCTGGCTTATTTTGGGAAGAAGCTATGTCTGGTCTACAAAGACTCTCACTCAGAGAATTGTGTGGCCTTGCAGGTGAAACAGACTGAGTAAAAACTTTTATAGTGAGTAAAAGGCATAAATTAATATATGAAATAAGGGAAATCTAAATTTCCTGACCGCACCTTTAAAACATCTTCTTTTTACTAGGGATGCACGATATAACCGGCCCCCTATCGGTATCGGCCTTAAAACTGAATATCGGACATCGGCCACCCCACCGATATTTAACCCGATATTTGATCAGCTTCTGAGTTTCTAAAGTCTAAAAAAAAATAAAATAATACTACTTCTTCTTCTTCCTCAAAAACTTCTTTTTTACAGACTTTAAAACTTCTAAAGACGAGGGAAAAAATATTGATCCATTAAAATATCCCAATATCTTCATATGCTGATATATTGCCATTTAAAAACACCATATCAATCTCTTTCACTAATGAAATATTGCTATATGTCATCGTTATGCTACGAAATCCCCCGAAAATTCACAAAATTTTGCCATATTTTTATATGTTGATATATTGACGCGGTATCGATCTATTTTACTAACAAAATCTCACAAGAATTTGCAAAATATCACGAGAGTTTGTAACAGAACGATGAAATTTCACCAGATTCTGAAAGTAAAATAGATCGATACCGCGTTTTTAAAAATCTATTTGATATCAGCATATGAAAATATATTTGAGTATATTATTTTTCAAAGTGTCAGAAATGGATAACAAAACTGCTATTTTCAATGACTACTTATTTTTGTCCAGCTTTAACATCGGTATCGATATCGGTTATCGGCTACATGAGTTTTAAAATATCGGCATATTGGATATCGGCCAAAATCCCGATATCGTGCATCCCTGCTTTTTACCAAGTGCCGTCTCCCTCCGTTGCTGAGAACCAGCCCGGGTTGGCAACCATTAGCTGCAGCCAGCCACTCAAATTAAACTGTGATATTCATATAATTCAACCAAGCGATTCATTGATTGATCATCACAGCCCTTCATTTTAATAACAGACTTATCACCTGTTGTTTAAAAACCAGAGTTTTAACCCTCAAGAGTTTCAAGTTGACCGGTTTTGTGTCACCAAACGAGTGAATCTATAAATATGTGCTAATGAACCGCTGGCTGAGCGTTCTGACCTCATGTGGCTCTTCTTCCAGGTGATGATGTGAAACACAGTGGAGACCACAAACAGGCCACACAGACCCAGCCCGTACACCCAGGCCGTGATCCTCTCCCAGTTGTTGTCGGACAGGCAGTGCAGCAGAGTCATGCCGACGAAGGCCGGCACGATGAGGAGCTACAGAGACCAGGAGAAACACATAAATGACGGAAACTTTCGAAATGGGAGTTGATGGGGAGCTTTCAACGAACGCCTGTATGACTCACGGCGTGAGTGTAGCAGTTTGCGGCGTGTTCGTAGACGGTGGGCTGGTAGCGGCAGTTAGCGGAAGGCCGCCTGTTCATGAATCTGAAAATAAAAAAACAAAACAAAAATAAAGAAAAAGAACAATTTAAAACTGCAGCTTTAAAGCAGCAGATGAAACGCTTTCATCAAACCCTGTTGTTGCCATGGTAACAATGACTGATTTTTTTCCCCCCTCAGCTTCTGAATATATGAAACAGAAATTTCTCCATTGAATTCAAAAGCCAAATCACTGTTTAGTCAAAGATTTAGGAATTAAAAGCCATGTTACCATGGAAACGCCATCAGGTATTGCACATTTTCAATCATGGTGCAGCACTACATGGGGTCATAAATACAAATCACATGAATAAGCGATGAATATAGAAAATAAAAGGGTCATAAATGTAAAAAAAGAAATAGTTTAAGTAAATGATATCATGTGATCGATTAAATATAATTGGAAAAATATACATTACATGCAAAAGTGTCAATTTGCATTTTCTGCAAAATTAGTTCCATCAGTGCTATTGCTGCAACTAATGATTATTTTGCAAATGGATTAATCTGTTGATTTGTTTTTTTGATTAGTAGTCATATAGCCAAAGGTTCATTAAAGATTTTTTTACGAAATGAAAGCAGGTGAAACTAAGGCTACGTCACACTGCAGGCCTTGAAGCTCAATTACGATTTTTTTTTTTTTTTTGGATTTTTTTGCGTTGCCGTTCACTTTTCCAAATATATGCGACGTGTATGTGATCTCCTGTGTGAAGTGCATTCATACAACCTAAGTGTCCCGCTGGCGGAGTAGAGGACGCAATGACGTCACAAGCAAGCATGATCTGTGTTTATGATCTTTTCCAACCTTAAAAACAGCATCTTTCCAAGATGGTTAAACATAAATACTGCTCTCTGCATCATCATCCACCATTGTTGTTGTTTTTCTTGCCACTTCTGCTTAGCAAGAAGCAGAAGAGTGACCACTGTCGGGTATTACTGACGTTCAGGTCAGATGAATGCGACCTGGCTGTTCAGAAACAGGTCGCATTTAAGGCCCCGTCCACACAAAGTCAAAACGAACACGAAACGCTACTATTTTCCAGAACGTTTGTCGTAAAGACGGAGACGTAAAATAAATGTGATCGTCCACACGAATGCATAAAACGCTGCAAAATGTATGCCAGGCCTGTAAGTGGCGCTGTGGTGCCAAAGCAAAAATAGGCGACGAAATGTTGGGCATGCGCCCTAATATTTATACATGGTTGCCCTGCGGGTCCATTTTGGTGGTTCAGTCAAATTCAGGTGCTGAACTATGTGGTCGATATTGCTCTGTTCTTCCTGGAGATATTCCAGAAGAAGAAGATTCTGTTGTAAGCCCGACAGCAGGGTGAGTAGCATGAGCAGCAACCATTCAACACAGTACGGCGCCATTGTTGTTGTGATACTGTGTCGCGCATGCGTGTTTAGAGGCGACGCTATGACGCATGCGTGTAAGAAAAAAAATGCGGTTAGAGCTTAAAGATGGAAACGTGAAAACGGCGTTTCAAAATCTTCCCACTCTGAAGGCTGAATAAAAAAAAAGATCGTTTACAGACCCCCGAAACGCCGGCTTCGTATGGATGAGACGCTGGTTTGGTGAAAAATTAGTGAATTTAGGCCAGGGTTTGACTTCGTGTGGACGGGGCCTGAAAAGATCAGATTCGTATCGGATTCAGGACCACATAGCCAAGTGGCCTGGGGCGGATTGCACAAAATCGGGTCAGTGTTGTTCAGACTGTCATGAAAAGATCAGATCCAGGTTGCATATGTGCAAAAAAATCGGATTTGGGTCACTTCAGGCTGCGGTGTGAACGTAACCTAAAAGGTTTCCACTTGAGGAGTTCTGGATAGAGCATATTAACAAACTTTTTTTTTTTAAATCTTAAATGCTTAATTTTTATTATAAATTTTTATTTTTTTAACAATTTTGATAAAATTCCTCCTCTAAGTAGTTTGCTCAGTCAGCTAAAGGCATATTTTACAGTCTCTATACTCCAGTTAACGATGAATCGATTACTAAATTAGTTGACGATCATTTCCATAAATTATTAATCACGATTTATCTGATTAATTGTTTCAACCCTAATCAGTGCAGGTCTGAGGGTTTGGTTAATACTTTCTTTAAATCATCCAAAGATGAAATAAAAACGTTTGAGCCTTGTAATGTTATGCTATTCCTTCATCCATATTATACACACAGATATTTCACGATTATCAGTCAGGCCTTGAGATCAAATAATCCGGTTCCCTCCATTTGCTATCCATTGTTAACGTTTTATTCGGTTTGTTAATAAATATTTCAAGTTTTTATAAGTCACACTTCTGTTAACTATGTTATATTTGTGTCATTTTTAAATCACATAAATAGAGGAATAGAAAGTAATCTAAAAAGAAAAAAACACAGACAGCAGAAATTGAAACGTTCGCTTGGACAAACTTTTATTTCCAAACTTCTTATTAGAATCGTTGTCAGTTTATGCCTCGATACGTTGCTCTCGGTTCATAAAACTGTGCAGCCTTTGTGAGGAACAATGTGGTCACTACGGATGGGCGATATTTTATCGTGTGCGATATATCGTCAAAGAAATTCCCCACAATAACAATTTGAATTTATCGTTTTTATGATGAGATGACTATTTATCAGGTTGTGTTTGCAGTTGCACCACTTTGGTTTTTTTAATAAGCCAAGTTAGTTTTGCTGTTTGCATCATTTATTGGAATTTGGTCTCTCATATTTCAGACTTATTTGATTGGTATCACTACAGTTTTGCAGTACAGGTGCAGTACTTGAACTTAATTGATATAGTTTAGAGGTTTCTAGTATTTTGTAGGGCTTTCAAGACAGAATTTAGTGACAGATTTATAATACAAAATATTTTGCTGGTAGTTTTTATCGTCGCTTATCGTTACAGTGATAAATTATCTTGATACATTTTTTAGTCCATATCGCCCATCCCTAGTGGTCACACTATTTAGATGCATAGTGAACAGATAAATATGACACCAGTGCCTGCTGGGGGGGGGGAGTTATTAACCAAATGAGCAAAGATCAAGTCCCGCTCTGACTCAGAGGTAAAGAAAATCTGATGCAAATGTCTGTCACCATCATCCCTGGTTGGAAACCATTCAGTTTAGATAATGGTGCATCTCTAATTACATCTTGGTAGATTTTTGAGAGAAGAGGCAAAAAAAGCAGTTTGTGTATGTGTGTGATTTTCCCTCCTTTTTACCTTCGTTAATTTATTCTCAGTAATGAAAGGAACAAATACAAAGCTTGGGTCCGGTAAGATGTAGTCATTACCAATGACAATGTTATAATAAATACCATTTTAAAGAAACAGAGGTTTCCTATGGTTTATAACACCTCACTAATTTACTCTAACACTTTTTATACATACAAAAAAAAAAACAGGAGATATTTTGTTCTTTGTAACAAAACCAAGAAATGTTAATGACTTCATTTCAAAACCTTTTTGAACTTGAGTTTCTGATTTTTGCAAATCTTACGGACAAAAACTCAAAAGATATTTATAGAGTAGATGAAAAATGTAAAAGTTATACCTAAAGACAAGGAAAGTGTAAATAAATCCTCCTTTTCTAATCAAAACTTTGTTTCAGTGATAAATGTCCACAGAGCAACAGGCATCCAGGAAGTCCACTCATATCTGATTTATTATCATAACTGCGGGCTTAGATGAGTCAGGATTTAAACTAAACATTAATGTATATTTTATCAAAATGTTGTGAAATTTAGAGACTTATTTTGCATTTATTCTCAGTAATGAAAGGAAGAACAAATACAAAGGTTGGGTCTGGTAAAATGTAGTCATTACTGCACAGGGTTATAATAATGTTATAATACAATTTTACAGAAACAGAGGTTTCCTATGGTTTATAACACCTCACTAATTTACTTTATCAAACACTTTTTTATAAAAAAAAAAACAGATATTTTGTTCTGTGTAACAAAACCAAGAAATGTTAATGATTACAAAACCTTTTTGAACTTGAGAGTTTCTGATTTGTCCAAATCTTACAGACAAAAACTCAAAAGATATTTATAGAGTAGATGAACAATGTAAAAGTTATACCTATAGACAAAGAAAGTGTAAAATAAGTTTAATCAAAACCTTGTTTCAGTGATAAATGTCCACAGAGCAACAGGCATCCAGGAAGTCCACTCACATTTGATTTATTATCATAACTGAGGGCTCAGATTATCCAGGTTTTATACTAAACATTACTATATATTTTATAAAAATGTTGTGATATTAAGAGACTAAATTTGCACACAAAAATAATAATCTTTTTTTCATTTTTTATATAAATGGACCCAAAATCACATTTCTTACCTTTGAAAACTGTTTACACCCATCATATCGGTTTCTTTTTCAGTCCACGGAAGGAGAAAAAAAAAAATCAAGGCGAATATCATAAAATAATTAAACTCCAAATGCCTCCTTAATTTGACAGGAATAAACAATAAACCAGCCAGAGGAGCAACAGGAAACGTAAGGCCTAGCATCCAGCTAGCAGGCTACTAGCTAACTGCAGCTACAAGGCACCGGCCGCATTACTCCTCCCACTGCTAAGGCTCCATTTGAGTCTTTTCCTCAACAACATTCTGCTGGAAACACCGAATCATCGCAGCAACTGTCAGCTGGAGGTATCCATAAGCACCGACGGACGAAAGGTGGAAACCTGAAACGCCCCGAAAGTAAGAAACCCGCCGGTTAACGGAAGCCGAACCCCAGCTTTGCTTCACCGGTACGGAGATTTGACTGACAATGGCATTAGCCAATCAGGAGCAGCGCTACCGGCGCGTAGGCCAATCAGGTCGGAGGTAGACGCCTACCTGGTAATGTCTAAACTCATAAATCATTAACAAATCTGACCCCAATTATCCAGTTCAAAGGTTTTACAATCCATAAATGTTCAATTAACAGGTTTACATAATGTTTAAAAAAAAGAAAACAAGTTATCACTCAAACAAGTGAACGTTATACATAGCTTCAATTATTTAATAAATAAAAAACTAAACTATTACCTAATTGAATACATGATTTAAAGTTTATTACTTGTATAATAGAGAATGGAAAGCAAAAATAATAAAGATTGAAAGAGCATAAATAGAATACTTTTTAGAATGTTAGTCTCAGTTATTTATCTGAAATATTTCCATATTGAATATATTTTTTTAAGTTTTATTAGTTGTATAAGATAATTTATAATTGTTTTAGAACCTCCTTATTACCTATATAATTTTTTAAGTAGTTTGCGATGACAAAATTTGATTTTATGAAATAATCAAATCCCATGTTGTTTAATCCAGACAACAAATTAGCTGTAAACCAATCAGCTCGCCTAAAATATTGATCTTTAAATCCATGCTCTATACTGGAGAATCATTTTGGACGAGAGTATAAAGTAACATGTTTCCCAACCCTGACAGAAAGGTTATTCTTCTCCTAAATGACAATTAAGAAATGTTAGAAGGACTATTAGTTAAATAAAAAGACATTTATGTTTAAAAATGGGATGAAAAATATTTATACCTCTTTTATTAATGATAACAAATCCTGTAAGTTGGGACTCTAGCTGCTCCAAAACTTATATGTGTTTGTTTTTATAATAATAATTTAACTTTATTGATCTCATATTGGAGAAATTGACCTCTGCCCCTCTGGGAGCAGAGGGCGGCCATTGTGGAGCACCCAGGGAGCAGTGGTGGGTTAAGGGTCTTGTTCAGAGACCCAGAGTGGCAGTCGGTATAGGCCGATACTGCACAGCCAAGTATCGGATATTGGGGCCAAAAATTGGCATCGGCACAACACTACTAACCACTAGGCCGCCACTCACCCATTATTGTATTATTGGTATATTATTAAACATTATTGGGTGATTTGTGAAATTTACTTAAAGCTAAACAGAGTAAAGGAAATACTTAATCCTGAAATAAACCCCTAAAACAAATGACATGAAGCTCATCTTTTAAAATCATATCACACTAAAATTTTTCTGTATCTTTTTAAAGATGCACCACATGTTCAGCTGTAGGCGCACTTTACAGGCCGCAGTGTTTGCTTGTTACTCTTAACTTCTGGAATACAGAAACGGTTTGTGAGTAAAAGGATGCAGGCAGACATGGTGCCACATAGCCAGACAGCGAACTCCGGTCTCTGCTGTAAACCTGTTAAACCCGCTTACATAACACCACTGAGACGAGTTTAGTGCTTCTCAGATATAAGGGAATGTTTATGTAAGAGCACAGGGGGCTTAGTAAAGTTTGCTCTGTACTCAACCTCAGAAATAAACACCAACTAATGTGTGTGTTTCAAAAATGTCTTCTGCTTTGAGAAGCTTTCTAAGCAAAATGAACTTCTCTTCTCACGGAAGTTGAGTTATCTGAGTCCTTATGTACTTCTACCTTCTGCTGCGCCGATTACAGAGGCGTGACAAAAGACAAAAGAACACATTTTTAAACGCCAAGTTTCATTGTTTGGACAACGTCTTATTTCTTGCAGGCTTATTCACTCCCTGTGCAGGTTAGCACACGGAGAGCTGCACCTTGGCAGCATGCTGCTCCCCATGGCTTCCCATAATGGGTGTAACTGAACTGAGCGTTTGTCAGACTTTCACTATCACCTTCTCAGGTGTGCGGAGGATATCATTTCCACTGGAGTTTAACCTGCTCTCACTGCAGACACTGCCTCTGTCTACACATGGCATTTAAAATTCAAGCCCAAATTAAAGAATAATAATTCATTTTATAAACAAGAAAATACAACATATTTACCCGCATGCTGTATTCAATTCAGTTCAGTTTATTTCTATAGCGCCAATTCACAACACGTCATCTCAAGTTCACCAGATTACACAGTCAAAGTTTTCTATCTAAGGAAAACCAGTTGATCGTATCAACTCATTGACTCTTCATCATTCTAAGCATGCTTGTAGCGACAGTGGAGAGGAAAAACTTCCCTTTAACAGGAAGAAACCTCCAGCAGAACCAGGCTCAGATTGAGCGGCCATCTGCTGAGGCCGACTGGGGTTCAAGGAGACAGAAGCAGAGATACAAAAAGTATCTGTAAAAGGCTAGCCTCGTGAGACCATCCTGATCTCGCGAGCTTTCAAGATTTCACTCGCTAATCAGTCTGGAGACTCTCCGTTAAAGAAAATTTGGAGCCGTTCACCAAACGAACGTCCAATCAGCGTTGGCTTTGAGGCGGGTTGAGGTGTGACGCAACGAGAAGCGCGACAGTTCAGTCTAAAGAACATGGCGGCTTCACCCGATGAAACTAGCGTTAGCGTGGCTATCGAGCAAGTTTGATGGGAATTACAGAGTATTTCTTCACTGAAAGAAGAGCAAAACACTGCTCTGGAGGCTTTTCTCAGAGGAAAAGATGTTTTTGCTCTTCTCCCGACTATCAATTGGCTCCTCTTCGTCGTCGCTCTGTTAGTACGTCATATGCTTCGTTGATCTGATTGGTTTATTTGGCCCGTCTATCACCAACATCTTTTCCTCAAAACACTGAATGTTCTCTCAAATCAGCTTATTAACTTTATGCAGCTTTTAGATTTGCAAGGAACCAGCATGTCAGGAAGAGGCAATAGAGACAGGATTCTGAATTCCACTCATTGCTCTGACTGTCAGACGCTCCAGGAACTGCCTGTAACACTGTGGCTTTTTCTGGTGCACAACGTCACACAGCAGTTTTAACCTTAACCCATTGCTAATCTGTGACCATCAGATCGTATCATCACTTCTGGTGGTTTCTCTTCATTTTTTAACCATATCTGAACAGGAAGCTCCGCTTTATATACAGTTAAATGATAAGAAACAACATGGCTGACTGAAGACTGATCACTGGAAGATCCACATTCATGTTCCAACCTTTGACCTCTTCTTCCGTCTGTATTTGTTTTATACTGCCTGCAAAATAAGCGGCCCTTTAAAAAATGTATTTAAATAAGTCAAATCTGCTTAAATCTGTATGTTCCCCTAATTTAAGCAGATAAATGAGATGATCCGCCAAGGGAATGTGTATTTTTGCCCTTAAAAATAAAATAATGAAAGCTTATGCGATTAAAATAAGATAATGGAGTTGCTTTAGTTCTTATTGTTAACGTAAATCATCTTATTCCATTGGAAAACTGACAAAATGTATTTATTTAAAGAAGAAATGACCTTGCAGTGAGTAGAGTTTAACTTAGTCTTTGTTTTCATGAACAGACCTTAGTTAATTTGGAAAAAGACATAATTTTCTAACATTTTGAAATATTGTTATCATAGTAATGCAACAATCTAATTATAATTAAAGACTATAATCATTATTAGTGATAATAATCCTCCAGCTTGTCCTTCACTGTAAAAGTTGAAATATAAGTAGGTTAATTTTTTTTAAAGCTTATTTCCTTTAATTTTAGCAGGTAAGTGAAACAACTTTTTAAATGATATAAGATGATTCATGTTTAAAACAACAAAAAAATGAATCCATTATCTTATATCCGGTGCATTTAATCTAATTATCTTATTTTAAGAGCAAAAATACCAATTTCATTGGAAGATTGTCTTATTCATCTCCTCAAATTAAAGGCAAATGTTTATATTTTTGACTTATCTTTAGATCGTTTTTTGCAATGCAGATTATTAGTGAAGTGAGTATCTGAAAGTTGGTCACACAGATATGAGTTTTATTATTAGCTGCTTTATCAGGAGCTGATGGACTGGGTTCAGTTTAAGGTCAGGCTGTCCTACTTTTCAGGCCTGCTTCCTGTTCCTTTGGATTTCTTTCAGTTTCTAACACTGAGCAGTCAGCTGGTTTGCTTTATGCTGCTATGTCAAGTAAAATATTAAAATGTGGATGAAGATAATGTTTTCTCTTTATTCCCAGTTTATTTATCATCTCTGCATGATCAGGCTTAGTGAGATGTAGTTAGCTGGGCTGAAGAAGGTTTTCGAAACTGTTTCTGAGTGCTGATTGGAAAAAAGTTCACTTAGATAAAGTGTTATGCTCCAAAGGTCTATGGGTTCTAGGAAAGTAACATAAAAATGTGTCCAGAGAAAATAAGTGGAATGTATAATTATTAATTACAAAAGATGGCTTCACAGAACCAAAAACACAATACAACTTAACCCAATTTAAAAAAAAAAAGTGGGCAACAAATTAAAGAACGGTTAAGTGCAAATTAAATCACAAAAGGTCCAAACAAGTCAGTTTAAATTTAACTCAAAACAACCCAAAAGAAAAGACAAAGGGAGCACCAAACCTCCCAAACACAAGCCTCTAGCTTGCACAAAGTCCACCTAAAGCAGATTCAAGCAATATATATAGAGAACAAGCAAGAGCAAAGAGTTCAAACTGCCCAAAACTGTTTTAAACACCAAAGTTAGAGCTTAACAAAACCTCTTCCTACTAGCTGAACCCAAATTAAAAGCTTTCAGGAGCCTTTTATAAGGTGCAGGTGGGCCTCATTAACATCTGATTGGCTTGACAATCTTCTGCTGGTCCAATGATGTCGCTGCTCCTCTGCAGCCTTCAGGCAGCCAACAAGAAGATTTCTGTCACAGCTGAACCTGAATAAGAAAACAAGCCTGCATAGTCTCAAAAGGACCGGGGCTGTAACACAAGGCTTTTAACAGTTTTCTTAAAGGAATATTACACCCTAAACATGATTAGCCTTCATTTTCTACTCACCCCCATGCTGAACAACACTCTGGAGTACTTTTTTGATATCTCAAATGCATCTGGAGATCTGGGAGGCTTCTTGCTGTCTGCTGA